TCTGAAGGCCACCCATTTTCTATTTCAATTTTGTTTATGTCGGTAGCTAATCTTTTTTCATCATACTAACTCATATCAACTCGTTTATAAGTACTTTTAAAATTGTTGTAAGCGGTTTTAATAAAAATGTTTTTTAAACCAATCTTTAATAAAAACGCAAGCAAATATTGAAAAAGAACTTGAAATGCTTCTTACTGGTTCCGCAGACTCAAGCTTACTTCATTTTCCATCTCTCTATTTTTCTTTATGTTCTCTCGCCCAGCTAACCAGCAAGCTCTAACTTGCCCTACTATTTGATTTGAACCAATGACTCCCGCCGTATGAAAGCAATGCTCTAACCTAGGGGTGGTTCGGTATGGGATCCCATACCAAAACCCTTGTCCCGATTCCCAAACCAAATTTTTCGGGAATCTCAATTTGAATACCAATCCCAAACCAAATTTGCGGGAATCCCAATTTTCGGGAATCCTGAAATAGTTTCGGGATTTCGGGACAAATCAGGAATCCCGAAATGGTTTTGGGCTTTTGGGCTTTTGGACTAAGATTTGACATATTATGCTTATGTAACTCATTGAATGAATTGTTAGATTGTGCAAACATATCAAGCAAGTCTCATTCACATTCTTGGAAGTGATAGATTGTGTAAGCTGGTTAGTATGAGACTGAGAATCTATTGCATCTCTTGCTAGTTTAAATGCAAATATAATCTCATATAAGGGCACAAGCATTGGATTGCAAATTGTAAACTTTGCTTGAAGGCTCTTAACCTGACTGACAAGCATTGCTACCTTGTGCTGCTTTGCTTTCCATTTACCAGTAATCGGCATATGTAAAATACATATTTACAATGCCAACAAGCTTCATTTATTGGTGTAAACAGTAAAGAGACTCAATCATAGTAACTAGATGATCCAACATTCTTGGTTTCAACATAAATAAAACAACATTGCTTACATCATATCATAATTCATAACATATTTCATTATCTGTAATAAGTTCAAACCATAAAGTCCATAATCAATTACAAAAGAATAATATATATGTATAAATATATATATATATATATATAATAATTAATAATATATATTTTCGGTTCGGTATGAGATTCCCGAAATATTGAGAAATCAATCCCGAATCCTGTACCAAAATTTCGGGATCGGTTCGGGATAGCATCCCAAAAATTTCGGGAATTTCAGTTTGGGAAATTTTTGGTTTGGGATCGGGATTTTTGGGAATTTTTTCCACCCCCTAACCACTGAGTTTTTTTTTTTTTTTGTTGAGAAAGTACGATAATCATTAAAAAGAGAAATACGTACATAAAGAGGATAGGGTGCTAACAATGGGCCTCAATAAAAATCTTGTCGAGGCTTTCAACCTGATCGAAGGAAAAAAAAGTGTCCCACACCAATTAAATATGAAGACTATCCTCAATTAACAAATCATTAATAATATCAGGAGATTCTTCGAACCAGGAAAGTGAATGATCCAACGTAAAACTCCACCTTGCAAGACGATGTGCCACTTTATTCGACTCTCTAGGTCATTTATTACTTCATTGATATTTATCTATTAAAGTGACTTATCAATTACGAAATTTAAGGATACAGTTCAAAGAGCGAGGCCGAAACAAGCTAACTACCTAGTCCTATGGCCGTAGCTACGTGAGATACTTATCGTTATATGAGAATACAATCAATGGAATTAACAATTAGATATTCATATTCCGCTATTCCTATCTGAACTCTTGGTTAACAGAATAAGTGTGCCTTCTCTTGAGAGGCTAGCGTTCGTTCATGGCTACAATGGTCACTTATGTTATGAAAAGGAAGATCAATCACCCGAATCTGACCGTAAACCATGTCAAACCAAGATTGATCAATATGTAAACGGAACGGATTCAAACTTCTCCTAAAATAGTTTCCTTACAAAAAACTCATAACTAGCGCTTATTGCAAGAAACACTTTTACTTTAGAAACTAAAAAATATTATCTAAAAGCGCTTATTTAAAAAGCACTTCCAAACTATCCCTAATAAAGTAAAAGATTTTTGGGTAAATTACATTTTACCCCATCAAGTTTGGGGTTGATTTCAATTTCTTACAACATCTTTAAAACATTTCAATTTCATACATTTACTTAGTATTTTATTTCAATTTCATATAACCGTTAAAAAATCTGTTAAGTGATGATGTGAAAAATAAGGGATCCTTATTTGTGCGGACTTGGCTTGGCTGCCACATTAAACAAAAAAAAATTAATTTTATTAAAAAAAAAAAAAAACCCAAAAATCCCCTTCTCCCCACTATCCTTTCACTCGTCTCCCTCACTCACTATCTCGAACTTGGATTCTCTGCCCTCTCATGTTGGTGTCATTTTCGTATTTTCCTGTTTGTGTGGTCACGGTTAAGCTACGTCAACATTTTATATTATTATTATTATTTTTTATTATTTTTATAAAAAAATAATATAGAAAATTGACGTAGCTTACCGTGACCACACAAAACGGAGAGGAGGGCAGACAAACTTAAGTCCCACTATCTCTGCTCTCACCCCCTCATCCATCCCTCTTCTTGCTCGTCTTCCTTAAACACTCTAATTTCATGTGCCAATCCCCAGCCACATCTCCGTCGACCTCAACGCTCCCTCCGCCGCCTACTGGCCCTCCCACTCCTGCAGCCTCGTCGAATCACCTTGTGCGGCGCAAATCTGCAAACTTCAGTTGGTGTTGCAGATTCACACAGGCTCAGACTTGAAATCGAACAAAAAAAAGGGCTCGCCTCGAGCCGGAGAGTGAGGAGATGGGTCAAATGGTTCAACTTTGCGGGAATATCTCCGGATAAGTTGTTGTAGGACCAGATCGAGGCGGTAGAGATGGAAGAGAGAAGCTATGGAGGCAGGAAAGTCACTGGAGAGTTTGTTGTAAGAGAGGAATAGGAGTTTGAGGGCGGTGAAGTTGGAGAGGTCCGGAATGGGGCCGGAGATGTGGTTACGCTTGATGTTCAGATGGAGGATGGTTTGGATCTGGAGATAATTTATAGATGTTGGGTGTGTAAGGTTTGATTTCAACTGAAAATTTAAATGCAAAAGCCAATTTCGTTGATTTTTTGGTTTTTAATTGGAACCCAAATCCTGTTTCAAACTTCTTGCTTGGGCTAGTTTTGTGAAGAAGCCGTTTGATTATTTTTTTCCAAACTCTTGTTGCAGACAAAGTTTCTCAAAGCCTTGTTTTATGTTTGGGGTTACAATTTGGGGGGAGGTGGGAGAGAGAAAGAGACAGGAGGAAGAAGAGAGAAAAATGAGAATTGGAAAAGGTGGGAAGGTGGGGTGGGGCGGAGGAGAGAGGGAGTGGATCGGGGGATGTTTCTGGGTTTGATTGGTTTTTATTTTTTATTTATTTTTTTAAGGATAAATATTATAATATTTTTAATGTATAAAAAATTATTATTTTTGCTACTAGTACAAATATGTCAACACGTTAGTTTTTAACGGATTAATGAATGGAAAATGTAATGGATGTATTATATTAAAAAAAATAATACTTGAGGTATGAAAGTGAAATTTTTTGAAGATATTGTATGAGATTGTAATAAACCTTAAACCTGAGATGTTAAAGTGTATTTTACCCAAGATTTTTTTAAATTGTAAAACATCCAGTGCCTTTTGTCCCCAATATTAACCACACATATTAACAAATAAAAAACACACAAACAATCTCCCCCTCTTGGAAGGCTAGTGCGGTGGTCTTATGCTGAGTTAGAGCAACTCTATCCTTGGAGCTCTTCTCCCTGGCAATCCACTATTCAATCCACCTAGTGAACAGTAACTGCCCTTACTAAACAGTAATTGTCATTTGCATCTCCACCCTTGGAACCATCCCCCTGATAATTGGTAATAAAATATTAATATTTTTTTCTCACCTAATCCATAAAATATTATTATTTTATTTCTCTCTCTCTCTGCCTCTCTCTCTCTCTCTCTCCCTCCCCTCTTCACCGTGGCTCCTCTTCTTCTTCACCTTCTTCACCCTCGCATTCACCCTCACCTCATCAGCACCACCATCCCCCAAACCCTCCCCGCCTCTTCCCTCACCCCCACTTCCATACTCCCCATCCCGCCCGCCGTCCTGAATGCACCTCCTTACTCCCCATCCCGCCCGCCTCACACCCTTACCCGCCTCACGCCCTCACCCGCCTACTCCCTTACCCCCACCTCCGTACTCCCCATCCCGCTCACCGTCCTGGACGCACCTCTGTACTCCCCATCCCAACCGCCTCACGCCCTCACCCGTCTCACTGCCGTCATGGACGCACCTGCAGAACTGACATAAAAAAATATTAAAAAAGGCGTATGACGTCAGATCCACCTCAGGCGCTCGGGCTGGCACGAATCCACCACCTTGGCGCTCGGGCCTGCTTGGGCTCCCTTGCCAGCCAACGCTGGACTTCCTCCCACCGGCCTTCGGGCCCTTTCCTGGAGCCTGTCCCCCGAGCAACCACCAACGGTGGACTTGCTCTTAGGGTGGGTGATGGTTGGGTAGAGGGAGGCATGAAAGATTTTTCAGTATGATTGGCACATAAGGTGGTACATCATGTGTCATTGTACAAATTGTGTGATATATGTGTTAAAAAGTTAATAACTTAAAAAATAAAATTTTCTGCCATTTACATAAAAGCACATGGTGTATCACTCGTATTCCTATCACAATTAAAAATTTCTCGGGAAGAGGAGGTTGAAGGTTCAATGGCAGGATGGACAAGGATTGTCTACCCTCCCTTTTTTCGTGCCCTTCCATGTACTTTTATTTGTGTGGTCACGGTTAAGCCATGTCAACATTTTATATTACTATTTATTTTTGTCTTATTATCTTTATAAAAAATAATATAAAATGTTAAACCATAACCACACAAAACAGAAAGACATGGAAGGACATGAAAAAATGAAAAAATGGAAGGGAGACAATCCTTGAAAAAAGTACAAGGGTACTTTGGACCGAAAATTCTGGGTCCGGATGCAGCCGTTCCTCCGGAGTCCAAATACCCTCCCCTCTATCTAGCGGTTTGGACTCCCGACAAATCAGGGATCTGAGATTCTGATAACTGATTCCGGGCGGGCCCTACCTAAATTTTCATTCCCCAAATTTAGTCAACGCCGGAATCACTGGGGAAAGAATCTGATTCCGTTTCTTCTGCTCGCATTCCCGCTTTGGTCCATCGGTTGAAAAACCCTAAACCCCCTCAAACCACGCCCAGAGGGAACTCACCACTCCAAGTCAGTAACAATTTCTCGCTCAATTGATGAAGTTTTATTTCGTTCTAGTACTAAATCACACGCGATTAAATTCCAATTACTATTTAAATGATGCTAATTTTGTTTGTTGTTTAATCTGTTTGTCTGATTAGACAATTCCTTTTGTATCTGTATTTTTCATCATTATTGTTGGGAATCGATCCTCGGTACAATGGAGAATGCTCCGCCTTTAATATGTTTTGAGAAAAAAAGTCAAACTCAAGCTAATAAGACTCTCCGCTTTGCAAAGGTCAAGTAGGAACGTCTATCGTATGCAACTTTAGGGAGTAACCGCATCTGTACATTTGCACTTTGCAAATAGGTTGTTTCTATGACTCGCGTGACATTTTGGTCAGAAAAAGGCTCGCCCTCGCATATTGTTATGAAACTTTAGGAAAATTTTCATTTTTATTGTTTTATTGAACTGGCAAAGTCATGAAAGTTAGTTAGGAGTGTGGGTTTGCAGCTATTAGTTAGTTAGTTACTGGAATTGGGCGGGAAAAGGGAGAGAGCATTCTCTTATAAATGCAGCAAAGGTGTTTGGTTTTAAGTCTCTGAGAAAGAAAATTAAGTTATAATTAAGTTTTTTCAGAGGCTCTCCCTGCAGCTAGAAGTTCCATTTGTTATTATTTTTGCTGTGATCATTCAAGATCATCTTTTATCACGATTTGAGGTCATGAATGATCACCTTCGTCAGTCCGGAGGACACTTTTGGGTATGTTCGTTTTGTTTCGGAGCTTTAATTCTTCTGTTGACATCTTACGATTTTCTCACAAGCTATTTTTTGAAAATGTTCGTATTTGTTGATTGCCATGTTGTGGATTTGTCAAACTAGCGATTTCTGTAGGTTTCTTGCATTGGTTATCTCAGATTGCCACTTTCTTGAATGGGAGGAATGTGGAACAGTCGAGTTTTGTTCTTTCAGACTGAGTGCTTTGTGTTGGTCTAACATATGGAGGCACTTCTTGTATGCTTTGTGTATTCATTTGGATTGATATTTTTCTGGGAAAAAAGCTGTTCTTGGTATAAAATTTCCCTTGTTATCTTTTTTTCACTTAGTGGGAAAAGTGTTTGTTGTTGTTATTGGAGTAATTAAGAAGCTGTCTTGTGTAGATTGAAATTTAAAATCTTTTGGTGTTTTGTTGAATTGGCCCTCAATGAACTCAAGCGGGATTAAAGATCATGTAAAGAACATAAATGATCAATGAACTCAAGCGGGATTAAAGATCATGTAAAGAACATAAATGAATATGTTTTTCTTGAGGAAGTTTATGGTGCAGTAAATCTTTTGGTGTTTTCCGTCATGGCTGCCTTTTCTTTTAGTACTTTGGGTATGTGGATCAGGGGTTCGAATTCATTACAGATTCGTCACTTCTTTTTTTAAAGAAATTGAGGCACTTTCCCAGTTTTTCTTGTTTTAAATTGTTTTGATCAATCGGAAATCAAGGATGTTTATGAACTCATTGATATCTTTTGAATAGGGTATGACGAGCTCTGAACCTGCGAGTCCAGAGATTGAGCAACAAGCCAATTCTGCCCCAAGGAGGCCTCGGATTCTACTTGCTGCTAGCGGAAGTGTAGCTGCCATAAAGTTTGGCAACCTATGCCATAGTTTTTCGGAATGGGCAGAAGTAAAAGCAGTTGCCACAAGAGCATCTTTGCATTTCATTGATAGAGCATCACTTCCCAAGGATGTAATCCTGTACACCGAAGAGGATGAATGGTCCACCTGGAACAAAGTTGGTGATAGTGTGCTTCACATTGAGCTCCGCAGTTGGGCTGATATCTTGGTTATCGCCCCATTGTCAGCAAACACACTAGGCAAGGTAATATTCGCAGTCTGGAAATATTGTGACTTTATAAAGTTGTTTTTGCTATGGGATGAGATGGGTGAGAATTTGTTTTACTAGAAACCGCGTCACATCAGCATGTTACTCAAACTATTATTTTTTATCGCTTCTGTTTGTGTTTCGTTGGAAGAATGAGAGATGGAACTAATCTCCCATTTTGTTCTTGTAGATTGCTGGGGGATTGTGTGACAATCTACTGACCTGCATTGTACGAGCATGGGACTACAGCAAGCCTTTCTTCGTTGCACCAGCCATGAACACTTTGATGTGGAAGAATCCCTTCACGGAGCAACATATCATGTCGATTGATGAACTTGGAGTTTCACTCATCCCACCTGTGACGAAGAGGCTGGCTTGTGGAGATTACGGGAATGGAGCAATGGCAGAACCTTCTGTGATTTATTCCACTGTAAGGCTCTTTTTCGAGTCACGAGTTCAACAGAGTGGTAATATCGTTCAGCAACCGGTATAATCGTAAAGCTGCCATGTTGAGATTCGACAACAGAATTTGACTTGAGGCCCGATGACATAATCTGGTTTGGCATCCATAACATGCTAGAATTGTCGTTGCGGGCTCTTTGATCTTGTCTTAGGTGCATTTTGTGATTTGGTTTGTGAACCAGGCTAATTATACATCTAGAATTTATAGGAGTTGAATTGGATTCGGCTTTTCACTTTCTGATTCGGCTCATCATTTGGTTCTAATCTCAGAAGAAGTTATCCATGTCCCAATGCAGTTGGTTCTGGATTGTGATTTATGCTTGAATAATGTCCCTTTGAGTCTTATATTATCCGCAGTTGGCTCTAGTGAGTGATTCAGACATGAGATTGATCTTATCTGAAGGTACTGTTTGTCCGCGTAAGTGACTGTTAGTCGTTGATGAGTGTGGATTCCATAGTTGGACAACATCTGTCGTATACATTTATTGACTGCTAACAAAAACACTTAATTGTTTCGGATTGCTTTTGAAAGTGCCAAAAGCGCTTTATGAACAATCAAAAGCTCTTTTAATAGTGTTTGATTGAAAATTTTATAAGTACTTACTAAATAAGCAAGTGAAGAACTTCCAAGTGCGCTTTGGATTTCTATTTTCTAATAAGAAATGTGTGATACTATGCCCACTGACCTACTTTTTTCAGTCATATTTTATTGGTTTGTTATCTATCTTTTAGTTATATGATGAGTGAGAAAATATAAGTGAACAGACATAATTATTTATCTTTTAGATATATGATGAGTAAGAAAATACAGCAGGCGAACAGACATATACAAACTATATGATTTATAGATATCATGCCTTATATAATTTAAAAGCACTTACGAGCATACGTATTTAGTTCTTACATAAACAAAAGAAGACTCGCATGAGTCCAACAGTGACATATTCTTATGGCGTTGGTTGCATCCGCGCATACTTATGCACATCATTTTTTTTTTAGTACAAAGATATATTTTACATTGAGGAAGGGGGAGTTCGACTAAGTCATACAATGAACAATCTAATTTGGTATCGAATTCGTCATCCAATAGATTCGAACCTAAGATTTCTTACTTACAAGTGAAGAAGAATACCATCAAACCTTAGTACTGAGTGGCACGTATACACATCATTTAACACACCCATCTGCAAAAGAGACCAAATTAAATGACATTCTTCAAGATTCGTTTCAAAACCACATTCTTCAAGATTCGTTTTATATCTGTACGGTCCACCGGTGGGTGCAAAATTTAAGGATGCACATCAAAGCACCGCCCAAGCCGCAAACTTTCAAATCTAAATTAATTCCTTTTCTTTTGAATTTTCTAAAGAATCAGAGGGAAATCAGTTGGGGGAGTGGCGAGTGACAGATGATCATTTAAGACCCATCTATTTTTAATTCAAGTACTTCAAAGATAGATCCACATTTATAACTCCCACTTGAGTCACAACACCTTTTAGGATATGTTCGGTGGATGGGTTGGGATAGATTGTGGCCAATTAAAAAAAATTTAAGTCCAGTCCATAATTTGTTATTTTAAAATATGCGATGGATATGGCTAGGTAAGAAGAGTTATGAATCCACAGTCGAATGAATTATCTAACATATCATTATACACAAGTTATAAGTCCTATATTATGTGTCCCTGTCAATCCAATCACATCCCGAAAATCCAATCTCATCGAACACACCAAATGTGACCTTAATAGAGTAACTTTCAAGTTTTAACTTTGATTGTTTGACATTTTCTCGTAATTATAATACGATGATCTATTCCAGTGTCAATTGAACTCATAACTCATGTTGATTTTTAATTGCATCACAAAACCAACGAGTTACAAAGAACCGACATAGCAAAACAATCTTATTTGCATTTCGTCATAGCAAAACAATCTTATACTTCCAATTACGTAAATCAATAGTTTTCCTAGGTTAATGTCCAATATTTGCGGATCCTTTAATTTTCTTTCTCCCATTTTCATTCCAACAATGAAGTGCATAAATGTTGGAGAAACAGATTGCGAGAGATTCTAAGTTCCAACATTTGCCTAACTTCATGTCGTTTTACAATTCTAAATGTTTTACAATCTTGCTTTTACTTCCAAATCAATGAATCAATCAATTATACCATGTTGCTACTAATAGCATATAGCAATAATTTCCTCAAGCTTGTCTTTAATTTGTTTCCAATAGTGTACTTTCAAAAAAAAAAAAAAAAAAAAAAACACAAAGACTGCTTGAAGTAAAAAGACATATCTACCCTTTTTGAACAAGATAAAAAGTATATAAGGGCCAACTACTATAGTAACATGGTTGCTAGCTAGTAGTGACAGAGCTTTAGACATGGCTTCCTCTTCTTCTTCATTTCCCACATCTTGGCAAATTACCCTCGTTACCCTCACCATCTTGATCTCCTCCCTCCTCTCCTCCTCTATCTCCGCCTCCGCGGCCGCAACAAAACAAAACCCGGCCTTGCCCTTCAAGAAAATCTACGCCTTTGGTGACTCATTCACAGACACAGGCAATACAAGGTCCATCTCAGGCCCTAGCGGCTTCGGCCACGTCTCAAACGCTCCCTACGGCATCACCTACTTTCACCGCCCCACAAACCGCTACTCCGACGGACGTCTAGTCATTGACTTCGTCGCCGAGTCACTCTCCTTGCCCTACTTGCAACCCTACCGCGCCGTTTCGAGCAATGCCACAGCAGACTCAACTCACGGAGTTAACTTCGCCGTCGCCGGCTCCGCCGGCTCCACCGCCATAGAGCACGAGTTCTTTGTGAAGAACAACCTCAGCCTTGACATTACTCCTCAGTCTATCCTGACTCAGCTGCTTTGGTTCAACAAGTTCTTGCAAAGTAAAGGTTGCAAAGTTGGAGGACCACGTTGCAAATTTGATGATGCACTTTTTTGGGTTGGAGAAATTGGGGTCAATGATTATGCTTATACACTTGGATCTGATGTGCCTGGTGATACAATTCAGAAACTTGGGATCAGTAGAGTTACTAGTTTTCTCCAGGTACCATTTTTAATTTTGTTGATTTTTATGGGTAGAACAAAATGGTCCGAAGATTATATGTTTTTAATTTAATTTTAGAAAGTGATTTTCACGAACCATCTTCTCCCATTAAACGCCCGTTTTCATTTTTGGCTTTGGGATTGAAGAGTTCAGAATTAAGGAACGAAATGAATATGAGCATGCAGAAGAAGAAACGTAATAAGTAGTGCATGAAAATTAATTTTTCTTTTCTTTTTTTAATTACCTAGCTAGGTCTGACAATTCCTTACATGACTCATAAAGTTGCCACAAAATGACATGAATACAACAAGTTTCGAGTTAACCCGTAAAGAATCAGTTAGAGAGTTGGGTCTTTATCGTGTACTTTATTAAGAACCCAATAAGATATCGCTTGCCAGATCTAGACATTAGGCATGACAATTTTTTGCATGACCCGTTAGCTTGACACGAAACGGCATGACTTATTAACGATTTGAGTCGTTATCAGGTCACTTGTTAAGATAACAGATTTAACACGACACGACTCGTTAAGATAATAAATATGACACGAATATGACAAACACGATCTGTTTACCAAGCTCCACCCAACTAAAGTTGGACTAAATTGGACCAAGGCTTCCGTTAATTATATTTTCATATGCTATATGATGTGGTTTCAGGTATAATTATTTTACTAACATATCCTAAAGTCAAAAAGCATAATTTACAGATCATTAAATCTTCTAGGTGTTTTGGTTATGGCTTATGAGTATTAGGGTTAGTTTGGTATTGATGTGTTTTAAAAAAAAACTGTTTCTGCTGTGTTGTGAGAATAAACAGCTGTAAAATAAAGCAGTAGAGTGTTTGGTAAACTTTTTTTTTTTGTAAAAGTGCTTTGAAAAAAAGCAAAATCGATTGTTCGGTAAATTTTTACATAAAACTGCTGTGATTATATTTAATGACTGAAAATTATATAATATTAGATATTAAAATAATAATTTATTTTATTTAAACTTTTATCTTCTCGATCTTCCTCAAAACAACTTATCGCATCAGAACCTTGAAAAACCTTATCGCATCAGTGCCTCATCTTGAGAAAGCACTACCTTTTTTTTATTTCAATTATGACCCAGTGCCATCTCCCTCAAGCATTTGGTGCCGGCGACACCCCAAATCCCCAGCCCAGCCGCGCTGCCAACACCCCAAAAATTCCAACCCAGCCCCGTCGAAGCCCAGACGCACCCAAATCACCCCACCTCCACCACGGTCTACGCATCTAACTGTCCCCTTTACACAATCTCTCTCTCTATACCAAAGCTGAAAAGTTCACTTTCAGTGATGGGGATTCGAAGCACCCAATCTTCCCCTCTAGGCTTCCCCCAATCTGATGGCATCAACCCATATGCGATTGGAGGGAGGGAGATGGAGAAACGGAGAGGGTATTATTGGGTTGAGAAAGCTAGAGAGCTTAATTCTAATATAAATATAAAAAAAAAACCTTGGCTTGCAGGCATTGTTAAAGAAGGGTGCAAAATACGTTGTCGTCCAAGGTCTGCCACTTTCAGGGTGCTTGCCGTTGTCAATGACGTTGGCGCCGGAAGACGACAGAGACCGCATCGGATGTGTCAAGAGCGTCAACCACCAAACCTACAGCCACAACCTTGTGCTCCAAGCAAAGTTGCATGAACTCCGGACACAGTTTCCCCATGCTGTCATAGCCTATGCTGACTACTGGAATGCATACCTCACAGTAATGAAGAGTCCGAGCCAGTACGGTTTCACGGAGAGATTCAAGGCCTGCTGCGGGAGCGGTGACCCCTACAACTTTGACGTGTCTGCCACGTGCGGCGCGCCTTCTGCCACCGTCTGTAAAAGCCCGTCTCAGTACATAAATTGGGATGGAGTTCATCTCACTGAAGCTATGTACAAGGTGCTTTCTGATACGTTCCTAAAAGGCAATGCCACTCACCCTCCCTTCAGTTACTTGTTGGACAGGAAACTGCGTAATGGATGAACTGCCTGCCTTCGGATGATGTGATCCATCTTTTAATACGTTTCTGTGTTGCCGTGATCTCAACGGAGTAGACATTTCTATGATGAAATTATGTTTGAGATTACTTCTAAGTCTCAATAATTCTGAAAATTTTACCTGTTGAACTATTTACTGTTTATAAACTTGTGCAAAAAGTGGCCTTTTTCAAATCAGGTCACAAATTCAGACCAGATTTCGTCGAATCAGATTGCCTTCCATCAGAAAATCAAAATGAGAAAAGAGGTGACTCTTCTGATATATATATTTCTGTCTCTTACACAAAGCATGTACATTATTTGCACAGCTTGAAGTGGAAAAGAAATTTCGATGTGAAAACCTCGCCGGACTCTGTACATGTGATGGTTGGCAATTGCCTCTCTCATTGCACCATTTTTCTAGTACGTTTGATCAAATTAAGTACTCGTAGTACATTAAGAACAGAGCGTCCGGGAGATCTTTGGGTAGTCTGTTGATAAAAAGGTAGAACCGCAAGATATCTTCCTTCAACACGGTTTGAGTGTCAACCACATCGCTACCGCAGGTCAGAACCCACAGGTCCCCTGAGTTTACTCTTTTTATACTTCCCCGGCAAAAAGGGCAAGATTCTGATCTTGTGTTCCTGCAATATACAAAGATGCAAAGATGTGACAATGGTTTATAAATGACGACCCCATCATCGTCATATGGAAACAGCATAACACCGGATGAGACTAAAGTGATATGGAAACAGCATAACACCGGATGAAACTAAAGTGAGAAAAGGAAGAACAAATGTTTTTGGAAATTAGGGAAGAACTACGTATATTCATACCATTCACGGTAGCAATTAATGCACATGGCATGGCAGCAGTTCGGCAAAACCATTTTGGTGCAAGGTACCAAGCAGATGCCACATTCATCTTCTCTCTCCAAGTCCACATCCAAAAGCTTTATCTTATCGTTGTATCTTTTTCTAGCAGCCATCTCTAGAGATTCCTCTTGGGTGAGATCTATCTCCAATGAATCACCGTGGAGACGCTGAAGGGACGGTAATATAACATCTGCAGTTTTAGGTTGGGGAAGACGTGAATAATGATGAATTGCAGAAACAACACTGCTAAATACCACAAACATACACGAAGTTTAATGTGTTTTGAAATTCAAAAGCAGACCAGAATGAAACGCGTCCTTAAAATTGGAATTACAGCAGGACAAATGAGATTCATTTAAAGAATTAGTCATTAATGTTCGAAATCCTAAAGTTAAGTTGTGCACCAGATGGACTCACTTTGAGGTTTTCAGTAAAACATGTGCAAATATCCATTCTCAATATAAGGCCCAAATCACATTCTTAAACAGATGTTAAACTAAGTACTGGTTTGGTACTGAGGTGATTTTATAAAAAGTGGGTATAAAAAAAAGTTGAGCTAAAAAAGGTGTTTGGTAAACACTTAAAAACAACTTATTTTCACAGTTTTGGATGAAAATAAGCTGAAAACATGAAGCAGCAAAAATTAGCTTATTCTCACAGCACAGCAGAAACAGTTTTTTTTCAAAACACAGCAATACTGAACCAGCCTACAAAAAAGAGTAGAAGTTTACGTACTGTAGAATTCGCTGATGGTAGCTTTCCTTCCACATGAAGAGATATTTGATCTCCCATCTGAGTGTACCTGAAGAAATACGAAACCAACAACCACAGAAACATTCAAAAACTCGAATTCCATTCGTGGAAAAGATTAAACTGTAAATTTAATTTAGAAACACATGTGCAGGCAGGGAAGAAACCAACCTTATAAACAATAACGTGGAAAAGATTTAAGTAACTTGAAAGTAAACACGAAGAGGAGCAATCGATCCATTGAAGCAAAAACAGGAAAATGTGTGCCAAGTCATTGTAAACCAATTTCATTTGAAGAACCGTACCACCCTTGCTTCGGGGGATAGAAGCTGCCCTGCATTTTTATTCAAGTAACATCAAAAGTCACTTAACTTGATCAACCACAAAAAAATATGAAATATCTCCGTCTATTAACTCGGTGAAACATCCTAAGAGTCAGCAATCCAAATTCAAAAAGTAAGGTAATCAAGGACAAAAACTGATGGTGTGCCCTTAAAACTACTCTGCAAAGTGCACACCCTTGTCCATATTCGGCAACCACCAACATTATTTCAACTCTAACCAGCAACAAGAATCTAATGAAAATAAATAGTAAAAAGCCAGCAGCATATCCAAAGATTAGGCACAGATTACAGAAATTGAAAACTTTCTCAGAAGCATGGATTATTGTTTACATTTAGATTAAAGTTTGCAAGCTGGGTTTCAATACGACAATGTATCCGATTTCAGATGACACAACAATGGCACCAGAAACAATAGGCATTAGATATTCTATGCATACCCATATGGATATTAGTACCAAAGCTTCTGCTGAAACGAAAACACAGCTCACTCTCTCTCTCTCTCTCTCTCTCTCTCTCTCACACACACACACACACACACACACACACACACAGAAACAGTACATCAAAATCAAAACCAAAACTCATATGGAAATTCAAGCCTAAAGCATCACTCTGGTGGCCCTTTTGGATATCAAATTTCAACCTCCAAATAGTAAATGCAGAACACATAAAACCACTAAAAATTCAGAAACCAACTGTATCCCACATTTCACAAATCCATTTGCAAAATCAAACATAATCAGCAAAACCCAAAAAAAAAAAAAATTCTTAAAAAAAAAAAAGTGGGTTGTAAACTTGTAATGTTGTACTCACAGCATATTGGCATGCTGAATATCTGCCTCAACAACCTTGAGAGAATCATGGTAAGAAGGCCTGGAAGCAAGCTGCTCATAGTAATCCAACATCTCTCACTCCTTTCCACTCAAAGTTTCAAGCTTTGAAGAAAATATTGGAAATTTGGAAGAGAGATGATCAAAAAGTAGAGAAAATGAAGAAACCCCAAGATTTTGGTGGTCAAATTATACACAAACCCCAAAGAAAAATCATGGGTCTTTGCCAAAGACTGGACTTTTGGGGACTGGAAGCAGTTGTGAGAGGCCAGTGGGGACCAAAACTAAACAGCCTAAATCTTTCATCTAACACTATAAAATAACAGAGAGAGAGAGAGAGAGAGAGAGAGAGGGACTTGGTCTTTTTTTCCTCCTCTTGGTGATTTCTAAATTTGATTTGGTGATTGTTTGTTTTGATTATCCACCAAATTTTAAGTTTGCAAGTTGTTGACTTTCTTAAAACTTGGGGTTTGACTGCTTTTAATTTGGTTTGGTTGAGTGGTTCTGAGTAGGTTTTCTCTGCTTTTTCTGCTTCCAATCAGAACCGTCCACTTTGCTCAGAATAATGGGAAAGGTGCATTGCAGGCAGGAGTTGCAGAACTGACAGCACCATAATTTTGTTGGGGATTTTTAACAATTGACCCCTTAATTTAACAACTTACTATGATTCGTCCCCTGTACTTTTGATGAATTTCGTTTTGACCCTCGTGATTCTGCGAACGCGCCAATTCGCCCTCTCTTGTCACACATCTGCCAAATGTTTCGTCAATTTGAAAGGTTATTTTTGTCCATTCAAGTAAAAAATATTAACAAAAATATGATAAGGTTGATGGTTATGGATGAATTGAGACGTTTCAAAGAGAGCGCGTAACTAAACTGAAAATCTATGTGGTGAACTGGAAAATCGTACTAAGAGTCTGCTTATGATTGTTTATAGATCTCGAAAGTGTTCTTTGCAATAAAAAACGCTTTTAATTACATTTGAGAGAAATGCATCTATTAAATACTTATTCAATTCCAATAAATACTTGTAGGGATGTAGTCAAATGAGGAATTTCGAAGGATTTTAAAAGACTTTTCAAAGTGATGGATTTGATAGGATTCTAGAATCCTTACCACTTTCAAATAAATTTTCAAGGACTCTTATGGATTTTGATCAAAGATTCTTATAGATTTTTAGAGACTTTCTTGTCATTCAAACAATTAATTTTTTAAATAGAAATAAGATTGTCGGTCGTATCCAGTGCACAAGGCTCCCGCTTTACGCAGGGTCTGGGAGAGGTGAATGTCGGCTAGCCTTACCCCCATTTATGGAGAGGCTGCTTCCAAGTCTCGAATCCGAGACCTACCGCTCATGGGCGAAGGCACTTACCATCGCACCAAGTATTGAAAAACTTTGCCCAGTCCTCCCAATCCAAAGGCGATGTCGGAGCAAATTCGAACATAGTCATCTTCCTGATTCTCGCAGACCTTACAAAGTTCTTTTAAAGCAACATGATGGCTAGGATAGAAGGAGCAAAGGAATGAGGGTGCTGTCACAAGACTTTTTAATGATGCATTATTTATTGGGAAGACGGGGATAGGCTTAGCCTCACAATAAATTAGTAATAATATGGTACAAATTAGTTTTTGGCGAAAATCGAACATAAGACCTTTCACTTACAAGTGAAGAGAAAAATCATTAAATTGTAGTACTAATTGGCTCGCCTGTTATGAATATATGATTTTTTCATAATCGGTCCAGCCTAAACCCTAAATTTAAGGATACTACCACAATTTTCCGTTTAGCTTATGTTTTTAGGTGGTGTATTCACCCAACTAATTTTTACTTCCCACACATTTCTTGTTAATTTTTATTCTCTATTTTTTTTTTAATTCATTTAAGCCGACAATTAGAAATTGAGTTGGACCGTGTGACGGGATATCAGCACTCATGCTCATTTTCTCTCTGGACTGGGCCAGTTTCATGGGACCTCCCTCAACAAAACCCAATCCCGTTGAGTTTTGTACCGACAAGCAAATTAAGGGCCCACATGACACGTGTCCCAGCAGCAGTACACGTGGTGGGCATCCTGATTTGACCATCACTAAAAGAACAAGAATTGTCTATCCTTCATTTTCACGGTTAAGTCACGTCAATATTTCATATTACTATTTATTTTTATTTTATTATTTTTATAAAAAATAATATAAAATATTAACGTAATTTAATCGTGACCACACAAACAGAACAGTATGGAAGGCGGTGGAAAAAGGGAGGCACACAATCCTTGTCCTCACTAAAAAGGTCCCGTTTTCTGCGACACTGTTAAACGAGTAGTACGACTCAGCTGGGGTGACTGTTGAGTGCCAAAAAAGCACTCTCTTCCTCTTCAAAGACAAAGGTTTTTTTCAGAGGATTTTCAACCCAAAAACTCACCTCTAGGAGCTTCTCACTCACTGGTAGGAAGCCTTCTTCGCAATTTAGCTTACTTTGTTCTTGTAAGTATTATTTTTCCATGAATTTATGTTTTTTCGAGTCCTGAAAATGGCTTATTTGTAAAGAAAGAGTAAGACTGAGTAGGATAGACGTTTGCCGGACCCTCGCAACGTGAGAAGCCTAGGGTCGCCCTTTTATTAAAATAAATGGTTTTTTAATTTAAGTTTTTATCTGGGGATCATGTATGTTTAGTGAAAAAGCTCTCACCTTTCAGCGAAAGACAGCTTCTTTTTTTCACCTTTTGCACTCATGGGTGTTTGTTTAAGCCTTGATCGTGAAGATTTTATGGTAAATTGTTTAATTTGTTCTTGTAATTTTTTTTTTTAATTTTTGTATTTTAATACAGGGTTTTTAGCTTTTCCCTTTAGAAGCATGATTAGTTAGTGAAAGGGTATCTTGTTTCAGCGAAAGAAAGCTTATTGTTTGTTTGTTGGGGTCTCATGGGTGCCTGTTTAAGCCATGATCGTGAAGCTTTGAAAGTACATTGTTTAATTTAAGTTATCCTTGCAAAAGAGTGTCGCATTATGTCCGATTTTCGGGTGCTTGTGGGCAATAACTAGCCGATTGTGCGCGCCTTGGGGTTAAAAGAGGAGATCATGTTTGTACATGGCTCGGGTTCAAGCCTTTCGTAAAATTATGGAATGATTTGTTGGGTTCATGCTTAGTTACAGTGAGGCAACCCCTTCAAACCATTTTCGGATTTTCGAAGCGTAGGAAGTTGTCTACTGCAGATGAACAAACGTACTCACGAATATTTTTTTAGGATTAGAGTTCACTGTCTAGTCACTCGTTTAGTTGGCTTTGTTTGTATCGAGAGTATTTGGAAACTGATTGTGCTTCCATAATATGCTTAACTATTTCCAAATACATAGGCGCGCTTCCCGTTACCATAATTGTTAGAGCATCTGTTAGGTAGTTCAACGCTTCCCTACAAAACGGTAGTTTAACAATAGTTATTGTAGTTGTTAACTTGTTACATAATTGTGCCATACCTGAAAGATGTCATCTTTATTACTTTTTCATTTGTAATTTGGTGCAATATGTTCCCATTAGTTTGGCGCTCTGCCATGGCAGTTAATTTATGTTACTTGTGCCTGCTAGCTCGAAGCTGCAGGTGTAGTCATGGTCATGTTGAATTTTTGATGTGTATTTCATATCAAAACAATTACAAGATGAAACATTATATAGGAAAAGAAAGAGAACATAAGTCTAACTTGCCTAACTTGCCTAATTTCCTAACTTGCCTAACTTGTCTAATTTACACAAAGAAGGTTGACTAGCCTAACTTCACTAGTCATCCAACATGTTTATTTCATGCATGCATTTTAACAAAAGATATGACTTGCATGCATTCCAACACTCCCCCTCAAGCTGGATCGAGGGGATTCCTTGAGCCAAGCTTGGACATAATGCGCATGAACTGAACCGTAGGAAGAGGTTTAGTAAAAATAACGCTTTGCTTCTTGCTGCACCATGTTACCAAATTCCCACTTGAAATGGCTTCGTGCCGCAAACAAACAGTAATGGCTTCGTGCCGCAAACAAACAAACTTGAAATGGCTTCGTGCCGCAAACTTGAACAACGTTAGGTAGAGCTAAAGCATCCATCGAGCTCTCAGCTTCATAATGTTCTCCAGCCATCTTGGCTTAGAGTAAATGTTCTCCAGCCATCTTGGCTTAGAGTAAAAGTTCTCCAGCCATCTTGGCTTAGAGTAAAAGTTCTCCAACCATCTTGGCTTAGAGTAAATGTTCTCCAGCCATCTTGGCTTAGAGTAAAAGAAACTTAGCAGAAACGATCAACAGAGCATCCATCGAGCACTCAGCTTCATAATGTTCTCCAGCCATCTTGGCTTAGAGTAAAAGAAACTTAGCGGAAACGATCAACAGAGCCAGGAATTTCAAGTTCCTGCTCTGAATCATATTAGCGTGGTCTCTCAGAAGAACTGCTGACATCACTTTGAAGTTTATGATGTTTCTGCAAAGCTGATTTTATATGACATTACTATCTCATTAGAATACCGTATTCATTTATCTTTTTTCCTTGTTGTAGTGGTAAAGTATTCAACAGAGCGAAAGAAGTGATGGGTAGTAAGCTCGAAGCTTGTGCAGAATGTACTCTGAAGTGTTTGCAGGATCATGGGAACAAGAAAAAAGCTTCACCTGTTGTCGCCTCTTTTTTCAAAATCATGATCGGAGATCAGCTTTCTAAAGTTTTGGTACGATAAATTTTCCATCTTCCCCCCGCCCTACTAAATTGTAATCTATTTAATTTTTATTCCCATGTTCTATGTAGATTGTAGCTCTCTTTTTTTAGTATGTGCATCAAACTGACAAACAAATTCAACAGTATCTCTTCTTTTCTGGGGATAACATTCCCGTAGGAAGTACTTATTTTAAACATCGAAAATTACTTTGTATCGTTCTTTCTAGAATTATGTAAACAATGTGATGTATACTGTAGAGAGATTCACGCAAAAGGTTTAACTAATTTTTCATTATCTTGTGAGTTTGATAAGTATATATTACTTAGTAATATATAATTTCCGCTACTCCCTTTTTGCACTATGATGGTAGAGATTGTCCCTTCTAAGCTTACCATGTCATCTCATTGCAGTTCTTGCCTCCTAAGTTTGCTCCTACTGTGTCAGCATTGGTCAATAAAAAAGCTGTTCTTGAAGATTCACGAGGGTGGCAGTGGAAAGTTACGATATCCAGAGTTGATGGCTCCCTTGCTTTTCAACAAGGATGGAATGCATTTGCATTAGACAATGACCTACAAGTCGGAGAACTTCTTTTCTTCAATTATGTTACGGATTCACATTTTGATGTTAAGATTTGTGACAAATCAGGGTGTGAGAAACTCAAGTTTCCTGAGGCCATGAATCAGAAGAACTGGACGTGGGATAACCAAAATTCCTCTGTCAAAGATGGTCCTTGCCACACAGTTGATAACAGTTTGATGGACAAACAGGGTTCAAGCACCTCTCTTACGTCTGATGCAGATGAAGATATAGGTCAAGATCTGGATCCGATGAATGCCAAGAGGAAAGCACCTATGGTCATGGGAAATGCTTCAAAGTGTGATAATAGTCATGAAAGGTCAAAGCTTAAGCTGAAAGAACCAGATAGAGATATAGGTCAACACCTGCATGATATGAATTCCAAGAGGAAAGCACCTATGGTCATGGGAAATGCTTCGAACTGTGATAATAGTCGTGAAAGGTCAAAGCTTAAGCGGAAAAAACCAGATGGAGATATAGGTCAAGATCTGCATGGTATGAATGCCACGAGGAAAGCACCCGTGGTCACCGGAAATGCTTCAAACTGTGATAATAGTCATGAAAGGTCAAAGCTTAAGCTGAAAGAACCAGATGGAGATATAGGTCAACACCTGTATGTTATGAATGCCAAGAGGAAAGCACCTGTGGTCACCGGAAATGCTTCAAACTGTGATAATAGTCATGAAAGGTCAAAGTTTAAGCTGAAAGAACCAGATGGAGATATAGGTCAAGATCTGTATGGTATGAATGCCAAGACGAAAGCACCTGTGGTCACCGAAAATGCTTCAAACTGTGATAATAGTCATGAAAGGTCAAAGCTTAAGCTGAAAGAACCAGATGGAGATATAGTTCAACACCTGTATGTTATGAATGCCAAGAGGAAAGCACCTGTGGTCACCGGAAATGCTTCAAACTGTGATAATAGTCATGAAAGGTCAAAGTTTAAGCTGAAAGAACCAGATGAAGATATAGGTCAAGATCTGTATGGTATGAATGCCAAGACGAAAGCACCTGTGGTCACCGAAAATGCTTCAAACTGTGATAATAGTCATGAAAGGTCAAAGCTTAAGCTGAAAGAACCAGATGGAGTTATAGATCAACACCTGTATAATATGAATGACAAGGGGGAATGTACAATTGCAACAGAAAATGCTTCAAACTATGATGATAGTAATGAAATGCCAAAGCTCAAGCCAAAAGAAGAATACATTGAAGATATGATCTGTATGATCGATAGAGAACTGGGAGACAAACAAGAAGACAACAGAAGCTGTATATATGATTCACTGAATTTTGAACTATTGGAACTGAAGTCTGGCACTGGTGGAAGCAACGAAGTAGTTGTTTGGGATGGAACATGCTCATATCATGATGATTCATCTGTAAGATTGAGAAACGAGGCTGGCTCGGTTGATAAAAATCCTGTGGCTAAAGAAGCAGTGGCTGCAGCATTTCCAATGGATGAAACCTACTCACCTCATGATGATTCATCACTAAGATTGAGAAACGAGGCTGGCTCAGTTGATAAAAGTCCAGTGGCTAAAGAGGCAGTGACTGCAGCAATTCCGATGGATGAAACATGCTCAAGTCATGATGATTCATCACTAAGATTGAGAGGTGAGGCTAGTTTAGTTGATAAAGCTCCAGTGGCTAGAGAAGCAGTGACTATAGCAATTCCTTCGGATGCATATAAGTTTGATGGGACTGAGAAAAATAATTCTTCTGAAGCCAGAGTGAAAAAGGTATCACCTTCTGGTGATGATTCAAGAACCACCAACAAGACCTCTCATCATCTCTTCCCAACAGCTGCTGTGAATCCTAATGATACAGGTAGCGTCTCTTATACTGTAAACAATATAATAGAATTGCTGAATGCTGACGGATCAGGCAAGACGCAGTTAATTCCTTGCTCCTATCTGTTGGATTGTCGGTTTCCTGAGTGTATAATGTCTGTAGTATACACAGTTTTCTTTGTGTTCAATATCTTAATTTTGTTTGTTATGTATTCTCAATTTCATTGGCAGGCAATAAGGTGGCAGCATCCAAAAAGGAGCATGATTTGATCGATGAAAGTTTTCAAAGAGCTAAAAAGAACTTTACTGGAACTCCTCCAGAGTCTTTTGGTATTCCTGTTACATTTGGATTCCAAAATTTTTCTGTCATTCTACTGATCTTTCTTCCAAATGCTATGTGTCCCTGCATAATTGTTAGAGAACCTCTCCGTTTCTGGAAAAATGTCATTTATTAATACCAAAAGAATATCTGATGTGAACAGATATGATGACGAAGGCTGTTAAAAAAGAGTCTGTAGATTTGATTTCAGATCCATGCTTTCAGAAAATCATACCAGAAATAGATGGTATGATATTATTATAAAATCATTTAATTAAGGGAAGCTCTATTTGTGTTTGTGCAGAAGAATGCATGAGTGTGTATTGCTGTAGGATATCTCACTCCAAATTAATTACAGTACATCTAAATGCAGGGAAATCATTCGAGCCAGTCGACGCAGTGTGTAGTCAGATTTCTAATATGATTAAAAGAGAAAAGGACATTGCGTTTCCTGTGCCTGTGATAAAATCTGAACCTGTCGATCAAGTTGAAACCTTTCCAAGCTCATCGTTCTCCTGTTTGGTGGCAGTAGGCAGTCAATCGTTTCTAGTATGTTAGTTAATTCCCTTACATATTTTATGTCTTTTCTTTGCACCTTCCTAGCATTCACTTTTACTCTGTTTCGACATGATAAATTTATGGACTGACTGATTCTTGGTGCTGCTACCTCCTTCTACTTCATGTTAACACATGCTTTTCTTTTGTTAACCTTGTTAGCTCATTCCAAATGCTTTCAATTCATTTTTGAGAAGGATGCATCTGATAATCATGCGCTTCTATAGGAAGTTTTTCTGGTGGCCCGAACAGGCTGACATATTGATTTATCTATTCAGAGTTCTGTTAGTTTGACACAATCTTGTAGAGTCAATCAATCGATTGTTGTAGTTTTACTTTCGATCAATATATGGACATTGGGGCAAAAATAGAGAAATCAATGTGGAAACTTGAACGCTTAATTATCATTATGTATTACACATACACTAGTGTTTCATTTTCACAGAACGGTGCATCTGATAATTATACACTTCTAATTATGGAGATGTTCATCAGCAAGCTGATTGTTATAATGGATATGCCCTGTTTGATCGAGGTCCTAGCCCTGCATTCGCCTTGCGTTTGTGATCATTTTTTACTGGATACCGAGCATTCTTTAGGTTTTGCTTGACTTATCTTACCTCCCTTCGATTCTTGTGCAGGAGCTGCCAGTGCGCTTGTGATCATTTTTTACTGGATACCGAGCATTCTTTAGGTTTTGCTTGACTTATCTTACCTCCCTTCGATTCTTGTGCAGGAGCTGCCAGTGCGCTTGCCAATACGCATGACCATCAGGGGAAGGCATACACCAGATAGGAGGGTAATTTTCCTTCGAGACACAACAATGAGATTGTGGCCAGTCCTCTACATTGATAATTGTTTCTCCAAAATTTTGTCGAGTGGTTGGGAAGCTTTCAGCAAGGCAAACAACATTCAACCGGGAGATACGTGTGCTATTGGGATCGAAGATGCGTCTGAACGCATATGCAGCGTCCATATAATTAGAACCTAAGATGATACAACACTTTTTGTGATTTTTTGTATGTACCGTGGGAGTATTGTTATTTATATCATCTTGAACAAACCACCTTACGTAACTCTAATAGAGGTGGGGTCCACACATGCGGGTTTAACCTCTACTAGAGAAGTAATACGCAAGATGGTCAGTTCTGATGGTCGAAATAGCTCTACTCTTTCTGTAGAGCTGCAAAACCAGCACGCAGGAACCACGTATTAGGTTGTAGTCTAACAAAGTTTGACCTAGTTTTAGTTCTATCAGGAGCAAGAAGCCCGGGATTCTGAGTGTTGGGTTTTGTCTGTTAAAATATTTTAATTCTGGAACATAATCTTTGTCCATGATGTGTAATTGTCGTAGGTAGAAAGGATGTTGGTCTCATAAATTGCATAAATTACAGCAAAAAGGATGTTGGTCCTGAAATATTAAAAATATAAAAAATTGATTGATTGAGAGGTTAGTATTTGCTCATGCATCCGAAGTCCTGTATTCGAGTCTGCCCTTTCACAATATCACTGGTATAAATAAGAGAAAAAAATAAAAAAAATAAAAGCTACTTATTACAAAAGGGTCCGCCGATAATCACCCCAAAACAACAATTTAACCAAAAAAGGGCTTCAAATAATTTCAATTGCTGAGTCTACAGGAGCTGTTGCAGACACTTGATTATGTTCTCTTCCCACCATTCTTTTCATCTTAATCAACCACTTAATCACGATTACCAAATAATCATACAGATTAAGAGCAATGTAGAGCCCAATGCCACCAATAATCCCATTTGCTATGGAATAAGTGAGAGGCATTAGAATCATGGTCATGAAAGCAGGCACAGCCGCCTTCATATTCCCCCAATCAATGTCCTTCACAACCTTCATCATCATCACCCCAACCATCACAAGTGAAGGCCCTATAGCCCACGGGGGCACACTAGACAAAAGAGGAACGAAAAACAACGACACAAAAAAACAGAGACCGATGGTTATTGCAGTCAACCCCGTCCGCCCGCCTTCTCTCAAACCCGCTGAAGATTCTATGTATGTCGCGATAGGGGTCACCCCCAGTGCAGCTCCCACGACTGTTGACCCCGCATCAACCAAGTACGCCGAGTACTCGCCTTCGAACCCGCCTTCGTCGTTCACGAAACCACCCATTTCGGCCATGGTGTACAATGTGCCTGTGGTGGCAAGAACATCAACATAGAGCAAGGTTGCTAGAGCCACCCAAACCTCAGACCTATTGAAATTGGTGAAGCTTATAGCCCCAGCTGTGGACTGAATCTTGTGAAAGTCAACAACTTTTTTGAAATAACTGAAATCCGTGTCACCAATTTGTGTGTTGGGAAACACTGTCACACTTGTGCCCCTAAACCATGATATGAATGTGACAAAAACGATGCCGTATATCATGCTGCCTTTAATCTCCTTCATTAGGCCATAACATGTGATTATAAACCCAGCTGCACCCAGCCAGAACTTTGGGCTGTGCATTTTCCCACCAAGGCACTCACCAGTTGCTGGGTTTGTGTTAGCACAAGCAGTGATTGTAACCAATGTGGATGGGTCTGGGCCCACTAGGCCAACACCTTGGTGGACTTGAAGGCCCACAAAAGCTATAAAAAGCCCAATCCCTGCTGCACAAGCAAGTCTAACAGGATGAGGGATGAGCCTGGCCAGCTTTTCTCTAAGCCCAAAAGCAGCAGTTGCAAGAAAAGCAATCCCTTCAAGTAGCACCACAGCTAGGGCAGTTTGGTAAGACAGTTTCCCACTTCCATGGAAACCCACCAAATTATAAGCCAAGTAGGCGTTTGGTCCCATCCCTGGAGCTAGCCCCAGGGGTAGATTGGCTAAAACGCCCATGGCAATCGACCCGATCATGGCTGATAAAATTGTGCCAACAATGAGGTCACTCTTGATCATTGCAAGGCAGTTTTGGTATCCTTCGTTGGGGAAGATCATGCAATCCGGGGTGGCGGTTTGGTTCACCGGGACAGAGCAGTCGGCGATGGAGCATGTGCCGCCTGAGTCGGCGAGAATGGTGGCGTTGACGGAGATGATGTAGGCCATGGTGAGGAACGTGGCTAGGCCGGCACGTAGCTCCTTGGTGAAGCAACTCCTCCTTGCTTCTAACTTAAAGTATTTGCCAACTTTGCTCTTTGAAACTCCATCGTTTAAGCCTTTCTCTAGTTTGCTCCATGACTTACTTATCTTTGTGAGAACTCCATTTCCCATTGCTACACAGAACTCTCCCCCCATCTCTCTCTCTCTCTCTCTCTCTCTCCTATCTCTCCCCACTCTTTCTCTTTCCGTGTCTCTCTCTTTCTTTGGTGTGAAATTGTGTCTTATGCTAGGGTGGTGGTTAGAGTTATATATTTTTGTATCAAGATGCTTGAGTTGGCTAGGAAGGGAATCTTCTTGGATATATTTTAAGGACAAATGGGCACACCATGCAGGGCAGAAAGTGTGAAAACCCGAAATTTAGGAAGTAGTAGGGCATTCCAAGCGTTTCATCACATGGTGTCACAAAGCTTTTAGGATAAGAATTGGATAAACTTTTTTTCAAGTGTTACATTGGTACATGGTACGTTATTAATTCACGTATTATAATATGGATAGACAGACAACACAATTAAACTTATGGTATGCTGGCCTGAGTTATAGTATTTAGTTGTAAATACTAAATATGATTTGTTTCCTATTGTAATTAGATTAACATGGTATAGTATTAATATAGGTTCATGTATAACCTAACATGCTATAACATTAATATAGGTTCATGTATTAGAATATTAATAAAATGATTTACCATATGAGACAATCACACTGAAATTTTTTTCGGAAAGATAGATGTGGTTTGGTTTTTGGAGGGAGATTCTAATAATAATTAGGGCAAATTGAAATTAAATAGTTAATAGACAAAAAAAAAATTAAATAGTTAATACAAAGAATAACTATATATTATGGTAAGCAACCTCCCTGATTTTGGATTAAAAGGCAAGTCAAACTATACATAGTTACGCCACTTAGTACTACGGTCTAGTGGTATTCCTCTTCACTTGTAAGTGAGAGGTCTAAGGTTCGATTATCGCTAAAGGTGAATTTGAACCACATTATTGCGAGCTCATTGTGAGACAAAACTCATCTCCTTAGTGTAAATAATATCATTTGTTCAAAAAAAAAAAAACTATACGTAGTTACATATTTATTATTGATAAAATAAAATATGCAATAATTATAGTTTTAGGGCTTGTTTGGAAGTGCTTTTAAAATAATTGAAATCGCTTTTAGAAAAAATACCGTTTGGGTTCCAAAAGCATTTGAAAGATGTGCTATAGGTTTTGGCAGTTGACTCTCCAAATATTCCAGGCTAAAAAAAGAGAGAGGCTTTTGATGGCTCTCCTCTTACATTATTATACATGTGATGATCCAGTATTTTGTGGCGACTCACTGGGGTTTTGGAAATTATTCAACTTAAATTCTGAACAACTTGAACGAAGACATATTCGAAAAGCTAAATATGCTCTGTATGTGGGATGACAATCTTTGCTGGAGGAAGAGAAGAAAAGTTCGATTGAGTGGTGGGAGAGAAAACATGACAGGATTTTGTTTTTCGTTTCTTAAAGAATTGTTAAGTACTATTTTATATTGGATATTTTATAAAAGTCAATGCTTGTAGAGGTATAATGTGGGAAATTTGTAAAACATAAATGGTTGACAAAATTTATTTTTATTCAATAAACCCAAATTCATTGAAAGCTGGATAATAAAAGGGAATATTGCAACTAAATATACTAATTATAGGCATGCGTTATAATCAATCGTGCGAGTTTGGTATCAATAACTCGAGAAATTTGTCTTCTGTTGAAGTAGTGCGTAATGCTTATTCACGTATTAATTTTAATTATAAATTTTCTCATATAACAAAATATATTTGCAACTTGAATACATACAATAACAAAACTTTGATCTTAATCACGTATGTCGTCTTTGTAGAACGTTGCTTAGCTGCTGAATAATTAGTAAGAACTCCTACTGTGTCATGTTGGCTGCTCAGCAGTTTGACACATATTCACTTTTTTTTTTTTTAAATTATGCAATATTAAATATACCATAAGTAGCAACATGTTATTTATCAGAAATTCCTACTAATTATTCAGCAACGAAGCAAGTTCCGTCTTTGTGCCCACCTAACTATATATCTTTAATAACATTGCACATGACATGCAACCATGCAGGAGATGCATATATATGCATCAACTTTTTCAGGGTATATATATATATATATATATATCTTTCTTCTTATGTCTCATCCACCTATAAAACGTCTATCAAATCTCCTTTAAATTTGATATGATCTGGTTTCGTCCTCATAGATTTTGGGGTTTTGAAGAGATATGACTCCTTGACGACTAAACGATGAGAGACCGGCCAAATTAATATAAATCTTGTACCTAAGTCTCTTATCTGTACACTAACTTGGGCCCCAACAAGAAAACATATTGATTTTTGAGTTAGTTTTTGCTTAATTTTTTACTTATTTATTTATATAGTTCTCTTTTGTTGATGACTAGCTTGAGAACTCCAAAATCTAAATCTTTTAAAGATCTGAAAATGTTTTTATATTTATAATTTTAAGAGTAAGGAAGAATCTTGTGTCTTGTGGACCCTTAGTGGTGGGGATTTCCAAATCTTAAACTACAATTTGTACTCTGTGTAAAAATAAAAAAAAAGGCTTTTTAGCTTAAGATGTTTTATGATCAAAATGATTGATGATAGACAAATTCAGGGATCGGACCATTTTTATCGATTTCAAATCTCAGAGACCAAAATGAAGAGTTACGCTAATCTCATAAATCATTTTGGTTAAAAAGCCAAAACAAAAACTACAATTCGTACTAAAGACCTTCCTAATCTTAAAATTAATGTTGGTTTAGTGTGCTTAAAATGTAGTGTACAAGACCAAATATCTGACGTACATTTGTTTTTTGAACAAACGATATTATTTACATTGAGGGAGATGGGGTGAGCTTAGCCTCACAATGAGATAGCAATAATGTGATTCAAATTCGTCGTTGGCGAGAATCGAACCTAAAACCTCTCACTTACAAGTGAAAAGAAATATCACTAGACCGTAATACTAAGTGATAATATCTGACGTACATTATCAACAAAAAAATATGAAGTAACTAGTGGGCAATAGCCTTTAAAAAGTAAATGCGGAGGACAATGAATTATTAATACGTATATAGAAGCCAATAATAATAAAATTAAGAAAAGCTAAAGTATATGATACATTAAAAGATGTGAGTAACGCATGCAATTAAAGAAATGAAAAAATAAATAATATTAACAAAAGGTGCCAAACCATTGTCACTCTGTTGTCCACTAGTTAAAAGAATCTAGGTAGCCATCGAAGGTTCAAATGTTGTACTCAAAATTAGCAGCTTAATTAATCTTTATCTTCAATTAATTAATTAGTATTAATGTTTTGGAGGAGAGAAATAGTGTTGTCAAGAGTTGAAATATACACATTATCGTTAAAAACCTTATACATTAGAATACTCAGGGCTTCCGAGCAGAGGCGATCCTCCTCATGCAATTGCTAATTATATTTAGTGGTATTGACCGATTTCTCTCTCTGAATTTGTAAGGAGCTGTCAATTTTCTCATTGAAGTTTAATTTTAACCAATTATCCCTCTAAACTTTTATATTCGGTCAATTTTCTTCCTGAATTTTAATTTTAGCCTATTATCTCTTGAACTTTTATAATTAGTTAATTTCCTTTGGGCTTTAAGTCCCCCTAAACCCTAAACCTTAAAATTCAAACAAAAAGTTTACGGAGTAAACTAGCAGAAAAGAAAAAGAAGAAAAAATAATATGTTATCCACATTACTTAGAAATAAATTTACCTTTTGCAATTATAAAATTAAAGTTCTGGAAAAAATTGGCTAATTATAAAAGTTTAGGAGTAATCGGCTAAAATTAAGTTCAAAGAAAAATTGGCCAATTAAGTTCACAGAGGTAGTTGACTAAAATTAAACACAAGAAAAATTAGCAGCTCCTTATTTCAAATTTAGAAAAAAAATCGACAAATACCTAAGTTATTTACTATTCTTCCAGTACTAATAGAAAAGAGTATACATCAAAGGTTTTTCATATAAGTTTTCTCCATCGGGGGGCATTTTTTGTCGATAACTTCGAAACCCCTTTGGAGGAGCTATAACTTAAAAAACATGAACCCTAATTACATGTATACAACTCCTACTGGTTTCATAGAAGTTTTCACCATCCGCCCCGCCGGGGGGGGAGGGGTGGGGGGGTGGCATTTTTTGCTCGATAACTTCGAAACCCTTTCGGAGGAGCTACAACTCAAAAACCATGAACCCTAATACATGTATACAACTCCTTTTCCTAATCGCATGCGCAAAAACTGAAATTTTATATAGTGTGTGGAAACTTGAAACAGCAGTGACCCAGTGGGTTCTCCTTTTGAGAGACAAGAAAGAAGAGGAAAGTGAAGATTAAACTTTAGATACTTTTTAAAAGGAGAAACACTGAGAGGTTAGTGTTAGGGTTTGGCATTACTTAAAAAAAGTTAAAACCCAAAACCCAAATGGAAGGGGAGGAGCAAAAGCAAGGCCTCCGCGTAGGTGGAAGAAGCACTACTTAAGAGGGTATATATCTTAACAATTTTTTTGTCATTCAATATAGGAAAAGATGTACCTGCTTAAAGATGATAATTTAGTAGAGCTGTTATTGATGCGTTATAAAAGTTAATTATCACGCGTTTTTCTTTAAATGAATCAATAAAAAGAGGAGTTTTTTTCTACTTTTTGTTCATCCTGCAATCTTATTTGATGATTGAAACTGTTTACTTTTTAGATCACTTTTTAATTATCATCTATGCAAAAATTTAATTATAACACTTGCTTTATTTATTTATTAAATGAATCAATAAAAAGAGGATTTTTTTTCAACTTTTCTTTTCATCTTGCAATATTGTCTGATGATAGAAACTATTTATTTTTTGGATCGCCTTTTTAAATCATCTATACAAAAATTAAACTAAATCCAAAATCGTTTAGTAATATAATGATTATCCAATAAATAAACGAACCATGTTTCTCACTTAAACACGAAAATTTTGACAATAGTAATCAAACGGTTAAATGATTTTTTATTTGGTTGTTCTTTTGCAAAGTTGATCTTTAAAGAGTCTAGTATACATACAGTTCCGATCATAAAAAAACAATGCAGAATGTGAAGAAGAACCGAAAAAGTAAAATGAGAAGGATAAGGTAAAAATGTTACTAGCATTTCCTAAAAACAAAGAGCATGATGAGTATTTTTCTAATACTAATTAATACCAATTTGCTAATTCATTTACCTAACGCCAAATTAAAAGAAGAAGGTCCAAAGTCATGGTCTTTTTTGTTGTTCTGGCCTTCAAAGTCTTCGGAAGTAGGAACTTAAAATACGACTTGCCACATAGTGGGAAGATGCAAGGATTTTTTGGATAGATATTAGTGTTGTGATATGCCTGATTCTTATATAGAGTGTGACTTTGATGCTGGTCCAGCCACAAGCTTACCCTCAGCCAACCCCATTCCCTGACTAGATGGCTCAGCTAGTTGGCGATGAAAACTTTACCAATTAAATTCGTTTTGCGCGATTACTCAGGTCGTATGGGGACGATTTGGATTTGCTTTTTTTTGGGTATGGAGACCGATATAAAGAAACTAAAACTATATATCCGACGCGGTTTTGTACATGGTTATATGGAGTAGTTGTTCTAAATCATAAAATATAGCAAAACTAACTTTGTCTAGCAAACTTACAAGGGTGTTTAGGAAGTATAACAGATTTCATAGGGAAAATTTTGTAGCACAAAATTCATGTTCTATCCGATATGAAAAGGTACATCCACAACTTTCAAAGGATCCATTCAATTTTACAATTCTTTGAACTTCCTACAACCTTGAAACTTTCCACCTTAACTTCATAACTAATTTTCTACTAAGATCACAGGTATAAATTTTCGCCTTATTCAAAACCTTACCATGCTTCAACAAGCACTTTGCCGCATCCAACCCATCTGGTCGTCCCTTGAACCTTCGTATGTAAATAGTCTTGAGGCATGACAACAGACAGGCACAAACTCGGGTGGACACTAATTAATTATCAACTCAGGTTAACGCTCATAGTAGAATTTATTTTTTTGGGCAACACCTTGAGCGCGTTTGGTAGTGATTTCCAAGAGTAGCATCCCGAAAGACGTAGCTCGCCAAGCGATTCAAATGATTTAATGTAGGCAAAGTACGTCAGTGTTCAATCTGAGAATCCCAAAAATGAAGCTGAAGGGGACAAATATTTGACATTGATGATTTCTGCAAAAATCCTACGTATTCGGTCTGCATACCATGGCTGCCACAGGGGCCTTCATGCACATAGTCTTTTCAGTTTAGGTGCATTGACAGTTATGTTACGACTGAACAACATTTAGGCAACGGAAAACGTCCATCTATTGTTAAATCTTCAAGTGCAGAAAGCAACATGAAAAGAGCTTCTTGATTGGGTCAAGATGGTATGGTACTGTAACATGGAGGTAGGAGGATCAATGGAAACATATGATGTCAGTTTCAGTTTCAGAACCTCCAACATCTTGCATAGAAAAAGACTACTAGTTAACAAAAGAATCTTGGATGGTATCTGGACCCCAGAAAGTAGGTGGTCGAGTTCAACAACATTACGCCCAATGGCTGTTCAATTCCAAGCATCAAAGACGAACTTTATGAACGTTTGAACGATTCAAGGGGGGAAGTACTTCATCTTCAAAGCTCGGAGTATGACCCCAATCATATCTTGGTGAGCACAAATGTATATAGATCTAAATTCGAAACAAAACCCCGCGTATGTTTCCATCAGTGTGATAAAACACAGGTCTGTACGGCACTCCTTGTTGGAAGGAAGGAAGGAAGGAATGTGAAAGAGAATCTCATCTGGAAGTTCACTGATCCTATCTCTAATGCATGCTTTGTGACGAGTTGGCTTTGATTTCGAACCCATTTACAATCAGTGCTGTTATCTGAAAAGCATAATGTGGTACCGGTAAAAGTCTAAATACGTAAGTTTGGTGGATTAACAAGGCTTTTACGAGGCGGGGGCAGTAAATTCTGTTTGGCATCCGAGAAAAAACGAGAAAATTTACACCTCTGCATGGAGTAGTAGTTGATTGATCCTGGAGGAAAAAAATTGGACGAAGATTTTGTATACGTGACATTCTCGAATCCCATTGGATCAGAGCCGTACTAAGATGTTGGGCCGAAACAAGGCCCAGCCCAACAAATTCCCACATCTAGGCTGGGCCTCGCAGCTTTAAAAACGACAACGTGAATGCGTGAAACCCAGCGACCCAGCTGCCAGGGGATTACAATCCAAATAAACGACATTGCGCCGAAAGAAACACAGTCGCTCATAGTGTCGTACCCGAAGGCCTTCTTTCCTTCGTCTTCTTCCTCGCGCCGAACCGCTCTGTAGTGAGTTGTGAGAGCTGCTTTCCGCCTCTTTGGCTGCGTTCCGAGAAATGGGGAAGAAGACAAAGAAGCCAGGTAAAGGAAAAGAGAAGACGGAGAAGAAAACCGTGAAAGCTGAGGAGAAGAGAGCTCGCAGAGAGACCAAGAAGCTCTCTCCCGAGGACGACATCGATGCCATTTTGGTAATTTCATTCTCTCCGTATATGTATATGTGTATGTGTATCGGCTGCTTTTTACTTGGAGTTATGGATCATTTGAGAACAGCTGGAATAGTTTCTGGGAGTTTAAAACCAATTAAGTTAATGAGTTTTTGAAATTCGGGCTGAGGTTTTTGAATTTGGTTGCTTGGGGAAAATTTGGGTAGATATGTACATGTGTATATATGTATGTATGTGTGTGTATCGGGTGCTTGTTATATAGTGTTAGGGATCATTTGAGAGCTGCTGAAATAGTTTCTGGGAGTTTTTTGACTAATTGGGTTATTGGGTTTTCAATATTCATAGTTAAAGTTATCGAATTTGGTTTTTTTTTTTCTCTGGAAATGAATGGATAGATGAAAGTGTGAGATTATATGGAATGTTGTTTTTGTGGCGGTGCAGAAACAAAAGGGTGTTCTGTTATTGACAGAAATATGGTGAAGAGTGATGGTTTGTTTTTGGAGTTTATACGTTGAAGTTAATCTGATGGACTTTTACATTTTATATGGACATGGAGAAAAGATTCAATTTTTAAGTCGTGTGATATGCATTTTTTTTGACAGTCAAGTATACAAAAGGAAGAAGCTAAGAAGAAGGAAGTCCATGTAGAGGAAAATGTCCCGGCTCCATCTCCACGGTCCAACTGCACGGTAATGTCTGTGCTGGTGTTTGTTAGAAATTTCTGATGAGTGGGTTAGGCTTAGTTTTGTTTGGGAACGTAAATGTTTATTACCCTTTGTTAATCTCGGATTTTTGTGCTTGGTTTTTGTGTAGCTGAGTATCAATCCCTTGAAAGAGACAGAGTTGATCCTTTATGGGGGTGAATTCTACAATGGAAACAAGGTCTTGATCTTTTTTGAGAATCTATGTGCTTTATTTGAACTAAATGGATTTGATCTTTGATCTTTACCTAATGTTCACCTGATTTTTTTGTCAAATTTGTTGCTGCAGACGTTTGTGTATGGTGATCTTTACCGCTATGATGTTGAAAAGCAGGACTGGAAGTTAATTTCGAGCCCCAATAGTCCACCTCCTCGTAGTGCCCACCAGGCAGTCACTTGGAAGAATTATCTCTACATCTTTGGTATACTGGCAACACTTCGTTCATATGTACAAACACACGTGTTGCACTTGCACTTTTAATTCTTTTGCATCATGAACATGATTGCGTTTGTTTGTCATTAGGTGGTGAGTTTACTTCCCCAAACCAAGAGAGGTTTCATCACTACAAGGTAAAACCTGTTTAAAATATAGTTCATTGTAAAATCTGCTTTCGCTGTTTAAACTACCTATCATTCTAGTTTATGTTATCATAATGTCACCTTTTTGTTTCCCTGCTGCTATAGGACTTTTGGATGTTGGACCTCAAAACAAATCAATGGGAACAACTAAATTTAAAAGGGAGTCCAAGTCCACGCTCAGGTCATCGAATGGTAAATTCAGGTTGCCTTAGATTGATGTTCCCTTTACTATGGAGTTTAACTGTCTAATTTCCATGTACCTTTGTGCGCGTGTGTGTTGAGACAGTAACAAGAAAAGATTAGTCTAATCTTCCTTTAAAGAGAGATTTTTATAAATATCTGTGCTTTTGGTCATTTTACAGGTACTGTACAAGCACAAGATTATTGTTTTTGGAGGCTTTTATGACACGCTTAGAGAAGTGAGGTTGTTAATGGATTTTTAAACATTTTGAAGTTTCATAGTTATTTAGCTCAAGATTTTGTGTTGATTTTCTATGTCAAGGTCAGATGCAAACCACTATGTGTTTAGTTGCGAAGTTGGTTTTATTGTAACTTTGTTATTTCAGAAGTTTTCTTGACATATTAACTGCCCCAAACCATAATGTATTGTTGCATGACAATTGGAGTTGGGGTGCTAATGTGGAGTTGATAATAATTTGTTGTGCAGGTATCATAATGATCTCTTTGTATTTGACCTGGATCAGTTCAAGGTAGAGATCTTGCTCTGTCGTGTTAATCTACTATTATAAATTCATGTGCATTATATTATGTACATATATGTTTAACTAATGCTTCTGCAATGTTTCATTTCAGTGGCAAGAAATAACTCCTAGGCCTGGTTCCCTGTGGCCAAGTGCCCGAAGTGGGTTTCAGTTTTTCGTTTACCAGGATGAAGTGAGTGATTCAGAACAATTTCGTTATATGCATATCATTTCTTGACTTCCTCAAAGATTTGACCTTGTGGTCTCTTTTTGACATGACAGATTTTCTTATATGGTGGCTATTCCAAAGAAGTTTCATCAGATAAAACTGGCTCCGAGAAAGGAATTGTTCATTCTGACTTGTGGTCCCTTGATCCTAGGACTTGGGAATGGAACAAGGTTCTTACTCGTGCCACAGTTTTCTTTTATTACTGTGTATTTATCAACAAACGGAACATGACATGATTGTCTGACCTCAAGTTTTACTTCCCCTTCTATACTTGGATATTGAATATTCTGTTGTGTAAAAGTACCTGTTATACTACTTTTGGATAGGATAGCATAGCATGCATGCAGGTTTTACTACATTGTAGAAGCTATGCTGTGGTTTTGTGTTCATCATTCTGAAGCTTTTGTATGCTGGTTACTCAATTTATAATTTCCTTGCATGCATATTTGATGATGAATAGCAGCAACTTATATTTAGCAGCTTGTAAGTTTGAGATTTCTTTAATAACTGTAAATGCATATTATAGGTGAAGAAAAGTGGGATGCCCCCTGGACCTCGTGCTGGGTTCTCTATGTGTGTTCATAAGAAGCGAGCTTTGCTCTTTGGGGGTGTGGTGGACATGGAAGTTGGAGGTTAGTTTTTTCTGTTCTACCTATCTTATGTCACTAGGCAATACAGTCCTCGCTTGAAGCTACGACTGGCCCTTTGAGGGTAGGTGGATTTATTTTCCTTTTTTTTAGAAAAATTTCTGATGCATGCAGCTGATGTAATGATGAGCTTGTTCTTGGACGAACTGTATGGCTTCCAATTAGACAACCATCGGTGGTAAGCCCCACCAAAGTTTTTTTGTGTTTTATATTTTTTACAGGTTGAGATTATTGAACAATCAGCTACAAGCTAATTTTTTTTGCTGCACTCTAGTTGATATATAATACTCTCTTCCTGACCCATTTTATTTATTATTACTTTCTCAATTTGTTGATGAGCAATTATATGGGCAATGAACTTTAAATGTGCAATAGTTCCTTCCCATTTAGTCAATTTTCTATTTGTATAGGTACCCATTAGAGCTACGGAAGGCGAAGTCAACAAAAGATAAGGTCCGGTAACGTTTAGATTCATAACTATACATGTACCGATTTCAATGTCGTACAGGGATTTTTCCCATAGAACTTTCACATTTTATTAATAAATAATATGGAAGCAGTTCATTTGAAACCCCATTGTTTTAGTAACATATAGCTTCCCTTACATTCATTTTTGCAGCCTAAAAAGAGTTCTGGACGAAAGCGTAAAAATGATGATAAGATAAATTCAATTGAGCCAGAGGAATGTGCGACAAATGAAAAAGATGAGAACAATGAGATTGATGAAGAAGCAGATGACTTTGAAAGCAAAGTTGATGGTATATCACATCAAATGGCTAAAACCATTACTGTTGGTAATGATGGGTTAGCTGACGAATCTGATGGGAAGATAAATGAATCTAGTGCTAATTTGGATTCGCAAGATTCTGATTTGCCAGAGGTTTTCTATGCTGAACATAATTTTGTTTTTGTTTATACTTTCTCAAACATTTTGGATTCATCCATTTGATTCACGAATTTGGTTAATTTGTTAGGTAGTGAAGCCCTGTGGACGTATCAACTCTTGCATGGTTGTTGGAAGAGATACATTATATGTTTATGGGGGAATGATGGAGATTAAAGATCGAGAAATTACACTTGATGATTTGTATTCTCTTAATCTTAGCAAACTTGACGAGTGGAAGTGCATCATACCGGTTTGTATTCTCTACATATAATTGCTTGTATCGTCTCAATATTTTCAAGTGTTGTATTGTCTTATTTTTATTATTTCAATTCTCTCAGCATCACTAGACATAACTATTACTGTTGTAAATTAAAAAAAAAAAAAAATTGGGACAACTGGGCATCTTTACTTTTGTTGAATTTCATTATTTTAAGCATGAGTCTGCTTTTCCCTTGACCCAGGCAACGGAAACTGAATGGGTGGAGGCGTCCGAGGATGAAGATGAGGATGAGGATGACGATGATGATAGTGAAGATGAAGGCGATGAAGATAGTAACAGTGATGAGACTGATGATGATAATGATGAAGAGGTTCTTACTTATTACATAGTGTAGATGTGTTTTCCAAATTTTAGTAATTAAATACATCTTGATTTTGTGGTTAAGATAATAGTAATCATACACTTTTCTGCCCTTTTATGTGAATGTTTTAATTATCTCCCTTTGTTAACCAGTCAGATCTTCTTTTTTTACTTCTCTCTGTGGCTAACAATTTTGGAACAAAAAATTTTAAAGTTTAGTGTTGTATACAATTTTGTTAAAAATTTGGTGAAACTGTGACTCCAGTTACAAGACTTTATACTAAATGATACGAGACATGCTGAAGGTTTATTTTGATTCTTTCACCATCTGCTTTGAATTTTCCTGTTTTTCAATGAAAACTGTTGTACTGTCACTTTTGAAGAAGGAAAATGTTCAGCTGTCTGTTTTACTTCAGTCTTCACTTTTTCTTGTGTACAGCATGGGAAGGATGGGTCGATTCAGATGGGGGATGCTGTTGCTTTAATCAAAGGGGAGGGAAAGAGTCTCCGAAGGAAAGAGAAACGGGCCAGAATTGAGCAGATTAGAGCCAGTCTTGGGCTTTCAGATTCGCAAAGAACCCCAACGGTACTTCATTCTTTCTTTAATTGCTATTGAAGGTTTTAAGCTATAATGGAAGCGTGAATGAGACTCTACAGGCTTAGTTTGTACTTGTTTCGCTGATTATGACCATTCTTTACGTTTTCTTCACTGCATTACTTTTTCAGCTAATATTGTAGTATATCTTTTGTGAAGCCTGGTGAAACTTTGAGAGAATTCTACAAACGTACAAATATGTACTGGCAAATGGCGGCACATGAACATACTCAACACACTGGAAAGGTCCGTTTCTTTCTTTTCCTCGAAAGATAAAACCCTTAAAAAAGGAATGACAAAACAAAGAAGCAATTATACTGTAGGCTGCATTTTTGAAGGAGAAGAAACTTCCTATTCATGCTGTTCTGATATTTGTTTTCTTGTGCATGTGATGTGCACGGTGTGGCCTTGGCATCGCAGGAGCTCCGTAAGGACGGTTTTGATCTTGCTGAAGCTCGATACAGAGAGCTTAAACCAATTCTTGATGAGGTAATGTTTTGGTTTTGTGTCTCAAGATTTATACAAGGCTTCTTTCTGAAACCAAACGGATTAAATTGACATCTTTTGTTTCATATTCTTCTGTGAATGGTGCAGTTGGCCATATTAGAAGCAGAGCAGAAGGCCGAAGAGCAAGAACCAGAAACTAGTACCAAAAAAAGAGGCAAGAAGAAAAGATAAGCGGTTCGCTATGGTGTACACACAGTACTGCTATATCGAGTGTATTTTTAAGATAGTTGTGGAATATGATAACGTCGTGAACCACTGGGATTACTGTTTTTCACATCAATTTTGTCTAAGTTTGTTTGTGGGTTTGCCCTTCTGTTTTAATCCTTTTCCTTCAACTTCATGGCCATGCTCAAACTGCTGCTGAAAAAAGTGACACCAGAGGAAGCATTTGACCGGCTTCTCAGTGTCCTTAAATATGCTTATAAAGTTGGGAACTTTAACGAAAAGCACCCGGTACTGTTCACTTTAACGAAAAACCACATTTTTACACTAAAAAGTCAATCCTAGTACTATTCACTTTATCCTTTATTTTGTCTTTATCATTAAAATTCAAAGTTTTCAAGCTATTTTCATTAGTTTTCCTTATAAAGTTTTGTAGGTACAAAGTACCACAAGCTGTGAAAACTACTTCTTTGACTCCTAACGACTTCTCGTAGTTGGGTCAACTACAAGTGTACAAAATTCCAAGAGGGTAATCGATTTCCAACTCAGCTACACAATCCAGAAGTATGTTATTCTTCTTAATGTTTAAAAAAAAAAAAAAAACGAAAAAGAAAAAGAGAAATGCTAGAGGGAATACGTATTTATACTACTTTAAGGTATAATGATAAATGATTCGTATAATCAACATTGAATGAGATAAATTTATTAATTGATGTGGCATGTACACATTACTTGGCATATTAGGTAAAACACAAATATAGTACAAAAATGTGGATAAAGATTCTCTCCGGATCTCACTGTCCGGAGCTTAAAGAGTAGGAAATTCAGATCACTCAAACTAAATTCGACGGTCCCTATTAACTCATTATGCTGACTCACCTCACACAAGTGAAGATGAATAATACTTGACCGTAGTACTGATTAACTAGTTAGCATATTCTTAGAAGAAAAACAATTAAAATGTAATTCCTTTTATTAAAAGTTTACTTGTTTTTTGAGAGCTATTTTGCATAAATTTTCCTCAAAACGCGTCATTCTTGAGCAGAATAGAAAAACAAACCGACCCATATTCTCATTCAGCTTCACACCCCCCCCCGCCCCGACCCGAAGCTTTCTCAGTTTTAGCTTTTGCCCAGAAAAAAGCTCATCAATCGAACTCTTTCGTTTCTGAAAGAGATGAAGAAAACCAACCTGTTTGTTTCAATCCTTCTCTTCTTATCCTTCAGCGTACTCCAAGTCTCCTCCCTTACGCAGACAAACCAGGTACTTCAATATCTTTATATATATGTATGCATATGATCCATTTTTTTACTTGTTCGGATGTTGGGTTTTGCTGGGAAGCTTCGATTTTCTGTATTGGATTGTGGGTTTTGTAAAGTAATAATTTTTATCCGATCAAGGCTTGGTTTTTGATGGTGAGAACTTTACGCAGAGTAGCAAGATATACGAATTGTGTTTCTATTTAGATTAAAACGTTCAAAATTCAACAATAAACGCAAAGGTTTTGATCAGAAGCGGTTTTAGAGCTTCACCTAAACTTGAATTTACCTTGAATTAGTTTCAAAACGTCTCGACTTTTGAATGGTCGTGTGAGGCCAGTTTGTCTTTTCACCCCACACCCAAGTTTGAATCCTCCACCTTGTGGATTAGAATAGTTTAAAATATCGTTGTGTCAAAATAAATTATGCCTTGTGGTATTGGAATCATATCGTAAATTGTGCATATGATGCTCAATTTTACTTCTTTTGTGAATTTAATTATGTATTTTGTTCTTGGACCTTCCAAGCTAATGTTATTTTCTTCATCCTTTGATCCAGGATTTTGAAAAATCTGAATCTTCAAGGTAATACGGCTTTAATCTTTAGATTAATTTGGCAATTTTTCATATCCAACTGGGAATGTAGTATTTCTTTCTTTTGGTTCGCGTTATATACTTGGTACGTGTTTCTATATGTTAGAACTCTTGAACAAGGGCAAGAGCATGCTCATGAAGTGCACTGTTCCAGAGAAAGAAGCAGGGCAGCTTGGCAAATTATTGAGAAGGTATGGGCAAAACGTTGAGTGCTATTACAAAATTGTGTCATGCATAATAGTCTACTTAAGGCTACTTCTAATTTGTGTTTTGTAGTATTTGATGCCATTTGTGGAACATGAGCACTATGAGATTCCAAGTAACTGTCGACTTCATCCCGACAATGATCTATTTAGAGATCAGGAAGAGCACAAGATTCATTTGGATATAAACGAATGGCAGTGCGGATACTGTAAGAAAAGCTTCCGTGCTGAAATGTTTCTTGATCAACATTTTGACAACAGACACTACAATCTTCTGAATGTAGTATGTGGACTGTATTTCCTTGCTTTAATATGTTAGGAATTAGGAACACTTGTCCAAATAGTGCAAGAAGTAATTTCATTTTCAGCTGGCCCTCTTTGCATTTGTTATCCTCTGTTATATTTATATTTTGTTCTTCTAGTTGATAAACCTCAAATTATCTCTATTCAGCTTATCTGCAAATGAAAGAACTTTTCTTTTAAAAGCGTTTGCATCTAGTCCATGTTTATCAGTTCCCTGTTGTGTTGGGGTTTCATAAACGTGCTTTCAAAAAATTAATTAAGCAAATTTAAAGTTATCATTTTAGTTGTAGGCTTGTAGCATGATGCAATAAATTAGATCATAAAACTATTTCTTAAAAATTGCCGAAGAACAATTACATGGCTTAAACTTATGTACAAGATCGCATTGTATAACACAGATAAAGAAATATCCAAGTGATAATCTTTCCTTTCTTAAGATGTGTATTTTGTACTTTGGTACTCTGGGGAAGGGTAGTTAGCATCTGGAGTTGTTCAAAGTCCGAAGAGCTATTCTGCGTCTGCTTCAAGCATACTTGCATTATACATCAATACATGATTATAAATTTATTTGATCTCTATCTTTTCTATTATATCTTTAATTGTATGTATGATTTTTCTTTCCCTTATATGTTTTCTTTTTCTCTCTTTGGAAAAAAATTTGATGAATGCAGAGTGGCAGCAAGTGCTTAGCTGATTTATGCGGAGCTTTGCATTGCGATGCTGTGATGAATACCAAGTTGAGCAAAACCAAATGCAATCCTGCATCTGTTGCACGGAATCACCACCTATGTGAGGTTGCTTTAAGGCACTATAATTGGTTGTATTGTTGATTCTTGTACATTACCTTGTTTAATCCTTTTTACCTTTTCCCCTTTTATAATGTAGGGTCTTGCCAATAGCTGTTTTCCGATTAATCAAAGTCCTTCAGCCCGCCGTCTTAATGGTATTTCTTTTTGCTCTTGTTGATATAATTTCAGATAGGTTATTGTTTATTATACTTGTGCTTACACTTTGATTTGTTGGTAGAGTTTTTCTTGCACCAATTTTGTCATGCTCATACTTGCTCGGGGAAACGGAAGCTTTTTCCTAGAGGAGGAAAGGTAAGGTCTCAGTCTCTTATTGCAGTAGATTTTGCTATAAAGAATGAACTGTGCCATAGTTTCAATCTTCTGGCTTATTTTCCATTGCAGTTTTGCAAGGATTGTCTGTCATTTTTTATATCTGTATTTTTCCTTCTTTTTTGAAGATTTTTGAGTCACGGAGGATATGTTGTCGCGTTGTTTTGTATTTGCAGAAACATATAAGTGTATTCTACCTGGCTATCTCCATACTGACTTTGATGCTGCTCCCTATTTTCTATCTGATAGTGTATTTGCACCAAAGGTATCACTTTTTCAGACACTTAAAATTCACATTTGGATTCGTTGCAGGATTTTCCTAATTTGTTTGCAATTTGCAGAGAGATGAGGAAAGGAACCCAAGAGCTTAGGCGCATTTCAAAAGTTGGGCAGAAAACAAAACCCTCGTAGTCGCTGGTAAGCTATACACAAGTTCATTTATAGATAGTTCATACCACCATGAAAGATGTGTAAGTAAATCACAAAGTGCGACTCGAATTTCTAATTCTATATGTTTCATATGTTTAAATTCAGGGAGTTGGAGTCGTTGAAATGACCATCTAGGATTTCAGGCGCAAACTTGCCGTTCAACATATTTTCTTGTAGATCTGCATGCTATACGTCACACAGAGGAGTATGTTGCACACGAATGATGCAAGAAAGCCAAATTCTTGATCATCGTCTTCAAAGTTGCTCCAGACATGACGTATCATTCCCTTAATAAAGGCACTGGTGGATGACGAAAGTAGAACTAGTTGCTAACAATCTATTTCTTCCATACACCTGTAATTCAACGGCTATAGTTTGTTGTCGTTCATCGTCTGGGGAACATTGATTTTCTTACATTTGAAGATTTTTCTTAAGTTATAAGAGAACAGGTACTTTGTTACAAGCCTTTGCCAATGATATTTGATTACAAATGTGAAATGTTACAAGCCTTCCTTTTACGACTCATGTTTCAATCGACCTCAACATATTCTTCTCCGCGATGCCTCGCCCATTGCCGGGAACTTGAACATGTTAGTTTCTTGAATACGCTCAGCTGGTCGCTTATCACTTGAATGACGCATGTTCCGGCCATGGTTCTCTGCTGCACCATTTTCTCGTCGACTATGACCACGATAGGTGCAGGAGTAGAATCTCTCTTCTGATGCTCTGCTATGTAGAAAATACAAAGCCTTCAGCTTTGATGATGCCATGAAACTACTTGAATGCTAGTGTTCCACTCTAGTACTCTACCACCAGACGCTGCAGGTACATGGAATTGCACTTAGCTTACGGAGCTACAACCGCAAATGCAAGCGATATCAATTCATTCGACAAAAGGAAACCATCTGGATCACTTAGCCGAATGTAGGCAGGACTTCTTTCAGTCTCGTCCTCGTTTACTAGCAAGGTGTTGAATTCATCTGCAGCGATGGCCCTTCCCTCGTTTACTACCAAATGCTTCTCCGAAATACTTCAAGTCCAAACCTCTTTAAGTCCTAAGAGAGAGCATAACAACATCCGTGGCCATGTCCTGCACCGTACGAGGACTCTCACCGCACTCCACCAAATCATTCTCCATTTTCTCCACATAACCTGTGTACTCTTTCATCCTCTTTGGTCTCGAAAACCTCACGCCATCGACGTAGCTAGTGGAGCCAAGGCCGAAAGCATAGAAAGGCTTGTTCTTCCAATAAGTTAGATTGTGTTTGCAGTGATATCCACTCTTGCAGTAACTGCTAATTTCTAGAGGTTGTAACCTGCATCCGAAGGCGTCCTAGACGCCATCTTATAGAACTCAGCAGACCGCATTTCTGAAGGCAACGGGAACTCCCCTAGTGGATACCTGCAAACAAAAAAACTCCAACTTCAGGACCAAATTCATTCCAAAACTAAAACCGTAGATTTCATCACTCGCTCCACTTACAACCCCCTGAATTTCGTGCCTTGTTCGGCTGCAAATCATAAACTGACACATGGGTAAGACGAGCTTCTACCGTCAACCTCAAGCTCTCCTCCCATATTTCCGGGGTCTGGTGAGGCAGAGAAGAGATAAGATCCATGCTCCAATTCTCAACCCCACATTCCCCAACAATCTCCGTAGCCTCATAAACCTCCCGAACGCCATGAGCTCTCCCACAAGCTTTCAGCAGCTCTTCTTGAAACGCCTGAACTCCCAACGACACCCCATTCACACCCAACTCCATCAATCCCTGGTCCATCTCCATCGACACCTGAGCCTCCGAACTCAACCCGAATTTCAGACTCAACGTCTCCAAAACGGAATCCACGAGCTTTGGCGGCACAAGAGATGGCGTGCTGCCGCCAAAAAACACCGTCTCCAGAGGCGGGTCGGTCTTGTTTTCGGCCTTCGTGGCGTTGATTTCCCGGCAGAGTAACTGGACGTATTTTGTCATTCCCGGGTCGTCTTCGGTTTGGGCGGAAGCAGCGCCGAGGGCGACGATTGTGAAGTCGCATTAGTGACAGCGCTGTCGGCAGAAAGAGAGGTGGATGTAGGCGGAAGTGGATGGCGGGAGAATAATGGTGGGGGCTTTGGTTGAGGCATTTTTTCGAACATTTGGCGCTGTGTGTGCGAAGCAGGTGAAGGTAGCGTCTGGCGGTGGCTTCGGCGGAGATAGGCGTTTGGCGGGAAAGGTTGAGAAAATGGGAGCGAAGCTTGATTTAAGCATTAATGGAGGTCAGCTTGTTATTCCGAAATTGGCAATGGCTTTACTGGTTCATAAGAAACACGAGACGACGACGTTTCAGTGGTGTGAAAATGTCATTTTCCAACATTGTTTAAGTGGCTCAAATTTGGAGAGTTTAATTATAATTACAAAATGTGTCTCATTTTAGTCACTCTGAATATCTCTATCTATTTTTACCATTTGAATTGACTATTTTACGTCTCAAATAGAAACAACTTATATGAAATGAGTTCATTATCATTGTGACACTCCATCTAATAATATATTGTCATGTGCATTATTAAACCAGAACACTACGCGACGTTCAACCGTTCTATATAAGTCCTCAAAAGTAGATCAAACGAACAAAAATGTACGAAAGTGAGCCAACCAGGTGAATCAATGGATGACATTTACAACAATCTAAAAAGGGTGTTGATATTGATATTAAGGATAGTTTATCTTGATTTTTCTATTGTAATTAGTTGTAGGATAGGTAGGATTGTTGTGCTTAGTTGGCAAATGTATAGCTACTTAGTTGGCATATGTATAGCTCTATATAAACCAATGATGTACTCTAATTATTTTTTCAATGAAACAGTTTTCTTAATATGGTATCTTTCGCCTTTGTCTGACGACTCAAATTCCTCTTGATCCTCCTCTCCCTTGAGTCTTCCTTCTTACGCTTCCCTCCCCTCTCTGAAACCCTAATTTCCAGCAATGGCGTCTGCTGCTTCTCCCTTCTCTGATTCTGCAGCACTTGTTCATCCAATTTCGGTGACAACTTCGTGCCCTAATTCCTCTGGCACTGCTTCTACAGCTTTAATTACGATTCAGAATATCGGCTCCATGGTTCCGATCAAGCTTACCACCACCAATTATCTCACGTGGAGCGCATTGTTTGCTCCGATTTTTCGCCGTTATAATCTCACTAGAATTGTTGATGGCTCGATCGAAGCTCCGCCGAAAGTTCTTCGAGATGCCTCTGGAAATCAGATCTTGAATCCTAAGTACATTGCTTGGTATGAGAATGATCAAAACATTCTTATCTGGATTAACTCAACTTTCTCTGAATCTTTGATTCCTTATACTATTGGTGTCAATTCATCTCGAGAGCTATGGTTCAAGCTTGAATCACGCCTTGCAGCGGCTTCACAATCGCATATTCATGAACTTCGTTCTCGTCTTCGCAACATCTCTAAAGGAGAATCCACTGCTGCCTCCTATCTTCAGCAAATTGAGGAAATTGATGATGCTCTTGCCAGCGCCGGAGCTCCGGTTGAAGATTCTGATCTCATTTCTGTCACTCTCCATGGCCTGCCGCCTGAGTATGATTCTTTCGTTGATGCGATTCAATTCCGTCTTGGTTCTACAACAATCAATGAACTTCATGGCTTGCTTCTTAGCAAAGAAATTCAACTGGCGAATCGCAAGAAAGCCACTACATCTCCTGGTATTTTTCAGGCTTTCTCTTCGAATCTTGGCTCATCACCTGGTCTTCTGCCTACACTTACCTCCAATTATGGATCTCAAGCTTTTCTTGCTCAGAATTCCTCTTACTTCAATCAGTATCCAGGTCGTTCTCAAGATCGCAATCAGTCAAATCCTAGATCTTCACAGACCAAGACCAATTTCTCTGGCTATCGTGGTAACAATTTCTCTAGCCATCGTGGTAACAATCGCACCAATCAACAACATCATCGTGGAGGTCGATCCGATTTCTCCTATTTTGGCAAACGACTCATTTGTCAAATATGCCGCCAATATGATCATGAAGCTTCTGAATGTCCCCATCGTCTGAATCCTCAGTTTGGTAACCGAAATTCTCAGGCTGCTATGTGTGCTAACACTTCTCAGCATGGCTCTACTTCATGGCTTCTTGACTCCGGAGCAAGTTCCCACATGACAAGTTCCTTAGCCAATCTTCAAAATCCTGAACCTTACACAGGCCCTAAACAAGTCTATATTGGTGACGGCAAAGGTTTGCCTATCTCTCATTCCGGCTCTTCGTATAAACATACTTTTTCTTATCGTTTTGCTTTGAATAATATGTTACATGTTCCTGATTTAAAGCAAGATTTACTCTCTGCCAATCAATTTACTATTGATAATTGGTGTTCCATTCATCTCTATCATTTTCACTTCACTGTGAAGGATCTTACTTTGGTGAGGACGCTTTTTAAAGGCCCTGTGCAAAATGGATTTTATCAATTCTCTGCTCCTGTCAATGCTGGTTCCCACAAGCTTTATGCAGCCACTATTAAAGCTTTTTCAGAGGTTTGGCATCAAAGATTGGGCCATCCTTCTTTCAAAATCTTGTTTAAACTTGTCTCTCAGTCTAGTATTCCTGTTTCTACTAGTATGAATAAGACTTTCTGCTCCAATTGTGCAATGGGTAAAAGTTCCAAATTGCCTTTTGTTTCTGTATCTAGTGTTACAACTAGACCCTTGGAACTTTTGCACGCTGATGTTTGGGGTCCAGCTCCTCTTCTCTCTGTATCTGGTTGTAGATATTATCTCCTTATAATGGATGACTTCACTCGTTATTGTTGGTTCTTTCCTATCAAATGTAAATCTGAAGTGTTCAAGACTTTTGTTAAATTCAAAGCTCTTACTGAATCTTTGTTACATACTAATGTTGTTACACTGAGATCTGATTCTGGAGGTGAGTTTGTCAGTTCTTTGTTTACTCAATATCTTAATGATCATGGTATCCATCATCAACTATCTTGCCCTCATACACCAGAGCAAAATGGTTGTGTGGAACGTAAGCATCGCCACATAGTGGAAACTGCTCGAACCCTTTTAGCTGCCTCTCATGTTCCTCATGTTTACTGGGTTGAAGCATTATCTACATCAGTGTATCTTATCAACCGATTGCCTACCATGTCTAGATCTTGCCCTTGGGAAAATTTATTCAACAAGCCTCTAGATTATACAACACTGAAAGTGTTTGGGTGCAGGTGTTTTCCTTGGTTAAAACCATATGTAGCTTCCAAACTTGAGCCTAAAAGTAAGCCATGTGTCTTTCTTGGCTATAGTCTCAATCATAAGGGCTATAGGTGCCTTTTGTTTCTGTATCTAGTGTTACAACTAGACCCTTGGAACTTTTGCACGCTGATGTTTGGGGTCCAGCTCCTCTTCTCTCTGTATCTGGTTGTAGATATTATCTCCTTATAATGGATGACTTCACTCGTTATTGTTGGTTCTTTCCTATCAA